CCGAGCCTGATAGGTTCGGCATTGAATGGGAGATTCTCGACAACATCGCGCCAGCGTTTTCCAGTCCCGTGTGGATAGTAACGGAAACCGTCGACGCTTACGTTTCTGCGTGGAGCAAAGAGGTTTCCCGCTGCAGCGCGTCCAAGTTCTGCTGGACAGACGCGAATGCCAAGAGTCTGGCGAAAACAGCTGCGAGGACGAAGATACTGACTGTCGCGAAACATCATGCGACCAGAGCAGTGACTCGTCGCAGCAATCATCAAGAAATCGTTTCAATCTCAGCAGCATTGATACTAGCCGCTGCGGTAGCATAACCGCACCGCTTCTTACCATCTTGTGTGGATTCCATGCGACGTCGCATGCTGCCTCCGAGGGAAGCGTATTCCATCAAATGACCGGGCAGGCGGTTTCAAACTGCCGCCTGACGCTTGTCGCAGAGGACACCGACGGCCATGCAGACTGCGACAGGATCGTTGGTGGTCGCCGTCCCTCGCTCTTCGTCAATAAACAACGGCTCGTCATCCAATACAGCTCCTTCTAATCATCCTTCTGGAAATTTCTCTCGACCAAGATATGGCCAGTGGATCGTGCACGTGGCAACAGCAGCATCATCAGCAGCAGCCTCTTCATCAGAAAGGCAGTACGAACCTTCTGCTGACCGTTTCAGCATTTCAATCTGGAGTTGCTTCAAGAGTTGAGGGTCTGTAAGTGTTGATGCAGATTGACTGCATGTATTGCCTGGAAAGCATCAGCCTGTACAGCTTATTGCCTCCTCTTTATACTGAATAATGGAAACAAGTATATCTGAAGTTCCATTCTAACATCTCACATGCTGCATACCAGTACTGTGCACATGCTCCTTTCAGATAAACTAGCTAACTACCTGGAGTTAAGGTCACGAAGCAAATAAATTAATCTACACATGCCAATTAAAACAGGTCATTTGGCTTTATGAAGGCAACAATTTCCAATCGCGATGTCTTCCATACTGTGCAGTTGCTGCTCTTGCCGATGCCATACTGACCGATAAGCCAACGACACATAGTGAGGTAAGCATGTTGGATGGCGCTGACAGTGCCAGGCTCCATGTTACTGGATGGTGTTGCTCCGCACAACCCTCTAGATAGATACAAACAAACGACAATCACCAAACAGACCACACAGGAAAGAGGAACGGGTACGAAGAAGGTTAAGCCTGAAGCAACTGTTTCCTCTGGGCAGTTGAAGCTTAGTCAACCAGGGCTTGATCAGCGGATGTTTCAGCTGCCAGGAGCAAGGAACAGCCATCAGAGTAACTATGACAAAAGGCCATCACGAGCAGCACAAACAGCTGCTTAGGCTACAATAGGGTCATCACGTGGCTGCTATCGCTCACACCAAGAAGACAGCATAACTGACATAAAGATTACACACCCAAAGACTCCACCGCACAGAGTTACAAACGATATGGAAAATCGTAGATAGCAAAGATACACTCAGCAGTGTACGACAGGTCGAAAAGGCTACACCTTTAAAAGCAGTTAGCTTATGGGCAGCTATTAATCGTCCTATCTCCCCACCCGCACCCATGTCCATCACTTATAGTTACCTTTCCAAAATCCTTCTCATCTATTGTTCCGCATGCTTCCGCTGTTACCAACCACCAAAAAGAGTTGACTTCTGAGTCATCTCAAGAGTCAGTTGTTTCCGCATGCTTCCACTGTTACCAACCAGCAAGGCCAGGCCTGCTGGCATGGCAGCTTCATTCTGCTCATCACCAAACAAACCCATCTAATAGCCTCTGTTCACTACCACAAAACCCAACTAAACGCTCCTATATTCTAATTTTTAACCTGCAAGCTCAAACACACCTCAATTGCATCACTCGGAATCCACCATTCCCCAAACGTCATCCAGATTACCTCGCCGCTTAACTCTACCACCCATTCTTCCCAACACCCTCAACCATCACAATACACCCATCCCACCCTCACCTGAATCGCCCGCGGCACTGGAACCACCTCAACCATCGCCATCACCGCTTGTTCTCGGCGCAGTGCTGCCGCAGGATCTGCAGCAGCGTCTTGGCCTCCGAGTTCTCGGCACTCGTCTGCGACACGCGCACCAGCGACGGCAGCACGCCCTCCGCGAGCAAGTCCCCGTACGTCACAAACCCCATGGCCGCCAGCTGTAGCAGCACCGACGCCGCATCCTCCTTCACCCGCGCTGATGACCCCTCATCAAGTAGATCCACAAACATGGTCAGCCCGTCGCACTCCACCACCGACTGGCACCCTTCGGGAACCGGGCCAGGTTGGATAGGACCGCCGTGGCTTTCTCTTCCAAGCCTGGCGGGGGAGGGTCGGCGGAGTCCCCCGAGCCACACATGCCTAGCAGGACCTCGACAGCTCCGGCTTTAAGGATATCCCGGGCGCAGCGCACCTGGGTGGAGAGAGTGAAGAGAGCCAGAGCTGCGTCTTTCTTTGCCCGCACCGTGCCAGTTTTGAGGAGCGAGATGAGTGCAGGGATGGCCCCTGATGCTCGGACCATCAGCTTGTGGTCGTCTTCTTTGGAGAGGGCAAACAGGGTGGCGGCAGCATTGCCTTGCGAGGCCGACGTGCCGTGATTGAGCATGCCCACCAGGGCTGGTATTCCACCCGCTCGCACAATCTCCCCTGATGCGTTCCAGTGGAGGGATAGGTTCATGAGAGCAGCAACAGCGTGCTCTGCTGCTTCTAAGTCGTCAGATTCGATTACTTCCACTAGCGGCTCGATCCCCCCTAGTTGCACCAGCTGTGCTTTGTTTTCCGGGCAGCCCTTGATGGCAGTTCGGATGTCTCGCACAGCTGCCCGCCGGTCCACACCTGACCCGAAATTCAGTGCCTCAACCATCGGGCCCATGTCCCGCCGGACGGGTGCGCCGCCCGGGTCATCATTGCTGCCGCCCGGCATGCTCATCATGCTGCACGTGCTGCGCGCGCTGCTGTTTCTCTGCAGCCGCGGCACACCAGGAGCGCCGCCCCCGCCTGTAGCAGAAGGCCCCTGGGGCGGCTGGGGGGGGGGTACTGAGGGGGAGGGGTCATGGGGGGAGTGGCATGACCATACCCCATGTCTACATCTTGCATTGCCGGGTTGGTGGTTGATTTTCTGAAAGCCCTACCAGCCGATGATGTACTCTCAACGTCCACATCGTGCAAGTGGGGCGACGGGTTGGTCGGCGACTTTCGGAACGTTCTGCCGGCCGACATGGCCTCGATATCCGCCTGCCACTGCGGGATGGATGACGTCAGCCGCTCCAAACCCTGCCCTTGCCCCCCACCGTATCCGCCCCCGCCCCCGCCCCCGCCGCCGCCGCCGCCGCCGCCAGCAGCAGCAGCAGCGCCAGCAGCGTTTTTCAGCACGCCTTTCCGGAGCCCCTTAGGCCTGCCCGCGGTGCTTCCGCTGGGTGCCATCCCCGACCCCGCGCCCCTCCACGGCTCCCCCCCGCCCCCCCCCCCTGCCCGTAGTCCCCGCCGAACGCGGCGCCCGAGGTCCTAGGCCGCTCGTCTCCCGGATTCGCGGCGAACTGCCGCCTGCCGCCGCTTGCGCTGCTCGCGCCGCCCATACTGCTGCCATCAGTAGAGTCCATACCGAAGTGCCGTCGTCCCCCCGTGCTGCTCCCACTGCTGTTGCTGCTAATGCTAGGCACCCGCCCGTGCCCCACCGACCCTGGCCGCTGCGGCAGCGGGGACATGCTCGCGCCTGCCCCGCCTCCGCCTCCCCCCGCCAAAGTTCTCCCCGCTGGTGCCAGGTGCTCCCCGTGCCCGCCGTATTCCTCGTCCCCCCGTCCCCCTCCCCCACCTGCCGCCCTATCCGCATCCCTCTCAGATTTTTTCACCTTCCTGCCCGTTTCCGAATGGGACCGCATCTTAGCGCTGCTGCGCAGCGACGGCGGCGCCGCCTCATCCGCGTCGCCCGACGACGGCCCCTCGGCGGGCATCCTTAGCCCCGCGCCGCCTCTAACCCCATCCGATCCTATCTCCGATAGTAGCTTATCCCCGCTGCTTCCTTGTCATCTTCATACTCCTCCCCTTCATCAGATCTGATACCTTCCCGGGACCTCCACCCCCGCCGCCGCCCCCGCCGCCACGGCCTAACTTGAGCGCGGACATTCCGGCGGAAAGTTTCCCCCCTACGTCATCGTCATCGTCGGCGGGAGATCCGAACCCGTCCTCACCGCGCGGAAAGTACGATAAATGCCGCTGCAAACCTCCTGCCTTCTTAGGCTTGCTGCTCTGCGACGCTATAGAATCCCATACGGCTTTAATATCCGTCGGTCCGTCCCCTCCCTGACCATCCCCACCCATCGCCGCCACTTTCTTCGACAGGTTCGACGGCAGCGGGCTGACGGACCTCGCCCGAGCCTTGGCGTCCGAACCACTTCCCGAGCCTGAAGCCTTGCGCCCCCTCTCCTCCCCGCCATCCGCACTCTTCTTCTTAACCACTTTTTTCTTCCGCACTACCCCATCGGAAGAACGTTCGAAGTCCTGATCGTCTGGACCGCGCTCCGACTGAGACTGCGCCAACAGCGAAGGAGGAGGTGGTGTTTTCGGCCGCAACTGGCTGGTTTTCGAGGAGCTTTTCACCACGGTTTTTTTCGCTGGGGCAGTGCTGGGTCGGGCAGCTGAAGAGTGGCTGCCCGAACCTTGTGCCATCCAATCAGAGATCATGCTTTTTAGGGCAAAGTTCGGGCAGAAGTTTGTATGGTCAATCCGCACGCCGGACTTGGGACACGTCCGCTTACCCTCCGCGAACCACCGCTCGATAGAAGCACGCTCGTACGTCTGGCCTGATGCGATTATGACGGGGTCAGTCATGACGGTTAACGAAAGCGGACACATAAACTCCTCTGGTATTGTCGGACCGTTAGACTCCGCCTTCTTACCACCGCTGCTGCTGCTACCGCCGCTCTCTTTCTTTTTTCTCGTCGGCTTCGCTTCCCGTTCCTTCGACGGTCTCCGCCGCTCCTGCTCCCCTACATGGTTATCCTCCTCCCACGCCTGATCCTCATGCCGATGCTGACGCCGCTGCTGCCGTTGCTGCCTATCTACAGTGTTTTCCCGCTCCCAATTGGACGCTCGGGGTTCGTCGTTCCATCCGTTGCCGTGGTTGTCTTGATAATCATCGTCGGGATGGTAATGATCCGACGATTGCGACGCTCTCTCCCAGCTGTTACAGGTTGCTGGATCCATGATACGCGCGAACAGCTAGGGTTCTGGTCTGAAAGGGAAAAAAGGGAAATTGATTTGTCGAGAACAAAAACAGAAGGAAGGCTGGTGACATAATCGTGATTTTTCTCAAATCGAGTTCATACACTTGAGCAGGAAAAAAAACAGGCCCACGTTGTGTCTATTGCTTCCGCAAAGTGGTGATCGATAAGGAGAGGCGGGAAGGAAAGGAAACGAGGCAGGAAAAGTCCTGGTAAAGCTCCAATTCACATGCAACCATAATGCAAAATACAAACTGAAATGCGAGAAAACGCCGACTAATGCTAGAGGTATATCGAAAATCGGCTAAGCTGATGGAGAGAAATGAATGACTTCTGACAATGGGGAGAGTGAAACTGGACAAAGCTTACATGCTTACGTCGTGAAGGCGCAGTGACCCCCTGATAAGGCTCTGGACCAGCGGAACCGATATATCTACTGGTAACTACGAGTATGGCACTAAAACACTAACAAGATCAGCCTTGGCTTGCTTAATAAAATCTCTGCTCGGATCGTTGTCTAAGACCTAATAGTTACTTGCTAACACAATCGCTATCCACAAAACCGAGTCCTTGGCAACGTCTTCGGCACCACCTAACTACCGGCATTCACGGTATTACGGCCATACTATCGCAATCCTATTTCACAGCACATACGCTTCCGGCGGAACATTCTGGACGACAACGAAGGAACCAGCTACGAAGGACGACGACAAGGAGAACGCAAAAAGCGTAAGATTTCCGCCTTGCTGTCAGGAGTTCTTAGGGTTACGAAATAGAGAAGGGACTGAGAGCTTGCTAATGTGCTAAATGCCACTGGCTGATGTCATGACGGATCCTTTCTCTTGGACTGCCGATAAGGGAGGTGCTGCTTCTGAGTCGCGGTACTTGAGATTCTAAAAGCGGAGGTTAATGTGATTGTTAGGAGGAGTTGACAAATGTTAGCGTGACAGTTTTAAGCGTCGTGTGGTAACCCGCCTTGCGGAGGGATGCGATGAGTCGGATGGATGAGCGGACGAGATTCGCAGAGATTGGCTGCTGCAGTTCCAGTTGCAGGTTGGTGGTTTGGTGGGGTTGGGCTGGATGGGAAACCTTTAGATGTTGGGAGAAATGCGGGCAGAGGATTATGGGCAGATGGGAAGCGTTGTATTGGTCCTAAGTAAGGTTGCGAGCGGGCATGGTGAGTGTAGGGCAAATAATTGGTGGCTGAGAGCAAGTCGGGCATGGCGGGAGAGTAAACGGACAGATAAAGGATTGGACCTTTTAGGAGGTTGGTGGGGACGACTGTGAAAAGCATAACTCGAGAATTTCTGAACCCACGAAATATCACGCATTCCACGACAGCATCGAGTGTAGTGAATGTGCTTGTTTCAAGAATGTCTAAACTGTTCCAGTTCATTCATATAATAATCAATCCTTGCACATGGACATGACCAACACGGATCCTCAACCAGCTCCAACGCCAGTCTGGCAATGCATGGACATCCTCCACACCTGACTGGACTTTCTGGATCCATTCAGGAAAGGGGAAGCCAAAAAAATGGTGGTATGCTTGTACTTCAGCCATTGGAGACGCATCCTTCTAAGAAATACCCGATCTGCTAGATATCCCAATCAGTAGCTGGCCAATGTCTGGCTGACATTGACACGGCCAGGTGACGCATTCTTGTTGAACTTGGACCACTTGAAGTCCTCGTACTTCTTCCCCACCCCAATCAGCCCAAGAGCGCTCTCAGCCGGCGAGTTATCCGTCTCCTTCACTCCAATATCCGTCGACTTAAACCCCTTGGCTGGCCCATCCACAGCAACCAACTCGCCATCATACGACAAGAATTGAATCACTGTGGCATCGCCGTTTGCCGGCTGGGAAACAAGTGCCATGCCATCTGACGGGCCGTTCTGCAGCCCCCCTTGAGCGTACGTGTTGCCATACACCACGAAGCCGTTAACGTTGGTGGGAGGAAGGTTGAACTTGGAGAGAGGAAGCTTCCCGTAGCTTTTGCCATTGGCTCCGTTGTAGAGGTAGATGGTGAGGGTGGAGGGGTCCACGCCTGGACTTACTACCACCTCAATGAACTGCATTAGACGGGGGAAATGAAGGGGGACGGGGGAAAATGAAGGCAAGGGTGGCAATAAACATTGAGGAACGTTGCGATGGCGTAGGATCTAATGCATATGTTACCGGATTAGGCGGGGATGTGGGGTCAGAGGCAGGTTGGGTTGAAGGGAGAGAGCAGGGTGATGAGGAGAGAGGGGGGCTACAGGTGAAAAGTGAAAGAACAGAAGATTTGAGTGGAAAGAAAAACTGGGTGGCACAGCTAAGAGAAATAGCGGGATGGAGCTAGGCATACAGCTCTGCCAAGTCTAACTGCTGCAAAGTGGGTAGGGAGGAGGACGATCGAAGAGATGCCTGTAAACGATTTATTTCTCCCTCATTGCCTCCATCCCCTACTCCCAAATCACCCATTCTCTACCTTTCCCTCTGTCCCCCGCACAATTCCCAACCATATTCCTCCATCTTGACTCCACCACCCACCTCGTTCTTATCCGGCCCTTCATTGCTGTAGTGAATCTCATTAAACCAAGCCTTTGCCTGCAAACCAGGCACGCGTGGAGCAGCCACCCCGCTAGCCCCTCCTGCTGCTGCTCCCAAGCCTCCCCCCACTGGCGGTGCTGCTCCGGGCAAGCTGAATCCGCTTCCCGAGCCTACGCCCAGGTCTGCCCCCGAGCCTACAGCCGGTGCCGAGGCTGGCCCGGCGGTCCAGATAAGGGAGACGAACTCGGGGTGGTCAACGAAGGGGTTGCGATTGTGCTGGTAGAGGGAGCACACGCGGGCATTGCGCGTGGTCTCAAGGGATGAAGGTGGATCGATGGCATGCCACTTGAGCAGAGGTGAGAGTAGCCCCATCTGACCCTCGGCTGGAGGGAGTCGGATGCAAGCGAGGTAGGGAGGGGTAGAGAACGGTGGTGGGTTGGTTAGAGGGCGGGTCGATGGCATGCCACTTGAGGAGAGGTGGAGGGAGTCGGATGCGGAGGGAGGGGTGGAAGGGTGGGAGGAAAGGGTAGAGGGAAGGGAAGAGGAAGGAGTAGTGGGTGTGGAATCGGGAGGGAAAGAGAGAATGGCATGTAAGACGAGGGGTGAGCAGCCCATTTTGGGCTTCAGCTGGCGGGGGGAAGCAGACAGAGGCGTGTGATTTGTGCAGAACAAAGAGATTACGGAGAAACATCACCATGGCATACCGATTTTGGGGTTGTCTGAGAGCTCGAGGTCCAGCTCGCCTGGCACAGAGCCATCATATCTCACAGCCATGTAGAGCAGCGCACGTGCTATGTCTCCCCGCACCTGTTTCAGAAATGCACAGGCACAGGGATTACACGAGGCGGTCAGTGTGACAGTGCCAGGCAAGTGTGGCAATTGATATCGTAAACATTGGAGTGCTTTAGCGAGGCAGTTTTGGTATGCGTACCGACAGACGGAATTCATGAGGTGGTTGGACCGACAGAGCGACGAGAAATCATTGCGGTTAATTCTGAGAGGGTGTGTATGATGACACATCAATGCCTTTGTGTGTATGATGACACATCAATGCCTTTGTGTGTATGATGACACGTCAATGCCTTTGTGTGTATGATGACACATCAATGCCTTTGTGTGTATGATGACACATCAATGCCTTTGTGTGTATGATGACACGTCAATGCCTTTGTGTGTATGATGACACATCAATGCCTTTGTGTGTATGATGACACATCAATGCCTTTGTGTGTATGATGACACATCAATGCCTTTGTGTGTATGATGACACATCAATGCCTTTGTGTGTATGATGACACATCAATGCCTTTGTGTGTATGATGACACATCAATGCCTTTGTGTGTATGATGACACATCAATGCCTTTGTGTGTATGATGACACATCAATGCCTTTGTGTGTATGATGACACATCAATGCCTTTGTGTGTGCTCACAAGGAAAGTATGAGTGCATACGGAAAGGCAGCACGAGAGCAAGAAAAGAAGACAGGAAGTAAGAAAGCAAGAGGCAAGAACACTAGCACGCACCTCAGTGGGGGGAGTCCAGACGTCCTTGTTGGTGGCGGTGTCTGCTGCTGCCTCCCTGTTGGCCGGCACCATACAGGTACCGTCAGTGGACGTGCATTCGCCGTACCACTTGTTGCCTCTGGCGGAGTTCACTGTTTGTGACATGACAACAACAAGGGGAAATCTCGTGATATGAATATACGAAGCAGAGGATAAGGTGTGAAAGATAGTCAGTACAGTCCCTTTTCAATTCCAGCAAAAATGTTGTTAACATCGCCTCACTGTTCCAAATCCGCTACCAGTCCAGCCCAGCACATCATCAAGCGTACCATTGACATCAGCGGGTCTCAGGTTGTGAAGGTCGGAGAACTCAGGGCGGCCCTGAGTGAGGCCGTAGGAGCGCGGCCACAGATGCTCCCCTGGTGGATGGGTGGAAGGGAGACAGCAATTTCAGTGCAATTCATACAAATTCCACAACTCATTGCGACCAGTAAAATCACAGCTCTAACAGCAATCAGAACAATCGTTGCTATCAGTTGGCACTCACTGTTCCAGCCTTCAGGCGTGGCCTGTGTGTCCTTGGGCACTGCCCTACGCGTGTAGATCTCCACACTGGCCATGGGAACACACAGGGGGGGAACCAGAAATAGTGAGCAGCGGTGAGGAAGAGGGGGGAAGGAAAACGAGGAAGAGAGGGACCATTTGACTGCGGAAAGTGTGCAATTGTGGATTACTCGTGGTAGGCCCACTCACGGACAGTGAGGAAGGGAGGAACCACCACTTAATTGTGCAAAGTGTGAGAATCTGTGGATTACTTGTGGTAGAGCCACTCACACGTCACGGGATTTAGCAGGATCTGATTGGTCCGCTGCATCAAGAATCTTCAGAGCATCCCATGCCTGCCATGAGTTCAGATATCGTGGGAGGGAGGGGGTTCTGAAATTAGTGAGAGTGTCCAGTCTTCTTGCACGACATTGACTAATTCGTGGAGTGTGATGTTGAAAAGAAACGAGGGAGCTGATAGAGGTGCTACAGCCATCCTTTGCTGCCCAGTGAGTAATTACCCGTGGCTGACAGCCTCTTAGCACAAATAAATTCCTTCAATCTACCTCCTCAGGTGATCCATTACTCTCAGAGCTACCTACCTCGGTGTAGGTGTACACTTTATGACCCTTTATAATGTCGTGCAGCTTCGCCTTTAGCGCCTCTCCCTTCAGCCCCTGCGTGCCTGCATAGTACTGCTCCACGTCTTCGCACGGGAACTTCGTGGAAGCTGCTTCGGCTGACCATGGTGCGAAGCAAGCGGCTGCTGTGGGCGTGAGAGTGATGAGGGTTGCCAGCAGAGCTGCTGTCGCCTTGGATGCAGCTGGGGAAGAAGACAGAAAGGGAGGGTTTTGTGGGTGTGAGGAGCGAAAGCAGGCGAGAAGGCAGGGTCGTAAGTAACCGTTGTCACGTTTTCGTTTTTTATCAACATTTCCATGTTGGTTCCGCTTCCACTTTGACAACTCGTGAACCGTTACCTCAGGTAATGGAATACCGAAACGACCAATGGTCTCGATTCCAGCATTCCAGCCAGACCAACAAGCATTGCTAGTCAAACGCCTGGACAAAACGCAGAATCATGACCGAATTCAGGGTGAAGTCGATAGATTCCTGGCCAGACGTCACCGATTCAAGAGAAGGCGGGCGACAGATAGCTTGCAACGATCCGTGAATTGCCGTACCTTTCTGGCCAAACGTCAAAGTTTCCTGCAGAGACTCCAGCCGTCCATTGCCATGTCTACCTCGTTCACTTCCCGTCGCGTCAGAACGAGACGACGCGGATGTGAAGCGTTGGGAGCGGCAAATAACTGGACCTGCTTGCCTGGTCCCCCGGGAAGCACCCCTGGCCGCGGTGCCTCCAGGGGTTGAGATTGTAAGTGAGCGTGCGGACGAGGAGGAGGCTGTGCTGGCCAATTGGGAGCTTCGTTGAAGGAAATCTGTCTGGGGTCGACCTCCCTGTGGGATGGAGTGGACGGAGAGTTAAGAGATAAGCGAGACGGGGTTGAGTGAGATGGGAGGGGGGTTTGCGGAAGGCACAGGTAAGATGAAGAAAAGCGCGGGTCCAGTAAGTGGGAAAGTGGCGGAAATTACGTGTACATTGGAACTCACGGCGTTCAATCCGCGAGCGCTCATCAACGAGCAGTCAGAAGCCAGCAGTGCCATTGCGAATCAGCGAATCCAACGATTCAGCTGCAGGCCGCGTGAATTCGGTGTTTGGGACAACAGACGGGGAGTAGTCAGCTGCGAACTTCAAGAATCCTGTCGATCAGCAATGGAAGGATTGATGATCAAGGATATGTATGGAGTCGCAGAGCAACTCCAACAATTTTCCAGGGAAGAGCGGATGAAATGGATGTTGGAATTCTCGAGAATGTGACACGTCATCGAGAGAATTCTGGCTTGGAAACCGTACCGAGCGTACCTCACTTCGGCTCGGCCGAACCAGCTTTGCATTACGTGTTATTCTGCTCCGTGCATCATCCCACCACCCTCGACAAACCTCATGGACCCGAGGCACTGTGATTGGCTGTATGCTCTGGCCTCCTCCTCTTATTGGACGCCTCCTCGTCGATGTGAACGTAGCCTTGATCTTGGTATCTGTGACGCAACATGGGTGGATACCAACAAACCTCACGCTCGGAAACATTTTCCTCCCTTGTTTCAGAAATGGGACTCCCGGCAGGCAAGCGACGAATAAATCCACCTCCATGACCACCACACAGATAGACGGAACAGCAAAGTACCACTCTCCGTTTCAGTTTTCTCCTCGGGAATCATAAGATAGAGCGTCACCGTTACGTTACGTCCCGTTATTGTATCGGAATGTCGACAGGCATTTCTTTAGGGACGTACCGCCAGGTTCCCTTGCAAGTTTTTCGGTGTCGCCATTCGGTGTCGCCAATATCGGCGCCGGTCTCCTACCATCCTGCGTCGAGATCGCTATTCCTTACATCTGCACCTGGAGCTCTTCGCTTGATCACAAGAACGGGAGGAAGCATTAGGTTAAGAAAACGATGCCAGGAAGGAATATTTAACAGTCGCATTTCGGGGAGCAGCGTTTGGAATATTCGCGGCCTTGCAGAGACCAACTTGGAGCAAGGAAACCAGTCTGATGTAAACCCGCCACGCACCGCCAGATCTTGCGAATCAGCTGGAATTTCTTTTAGACGAGCCTTCCTTGCAGGTGCAGCAGCACTGGCAGCAGTCCCTGTTGCAACTGAGCCATGGGGGATTAGAGGCTTCACGGAGCCTGGAGCTGCACATGCAGCGGTTCTGCCAGGGCGAGTGGGGCAAGGGCCTCTGTTGGCTGCTGTGAGCGACGATGACGAGGACACCATCGTATCTCTGTTTGAGGTGAGGGCCGCCTGTGCTATGGTCATTCCGCATACTTTGTCCGTTCCGTTGCGGTGAGGCGTGATCATCTCTTATCGTCTAGCAAATATAGGCGTGATCGTCTCATTTTTTTAAATGTCATGTCGTTTTGCATGATTCTCTTCCGTTTAGCAACTATTATTCTCCTTGCATGTCCATCTTCCCTGTTCGTTTCCCCACGTTGTGCTTCCAGAACGCAACAGCGTCAGTAGTGTCTATTATGAATGTTGAAGTGAATGGCAGCGGCAAGGGAAAGGGAGGAGCTGGAGAGGAGGTCATGGAAGGAATTGGCTCCGGATTTGTCTGGGATGAATACGGTCACATTGTAAGATACAATTATCATTGCATTGATGGTGCGCTGTAGAACACTGTCTGGGCATGTTACAGTGCAATGCCATATGATATCAGACAGTACCATCGATAGTCAGGAAGTCATTGCGGTGGCTCGGTCTGGAAGGATCTATCACATTGAGATTGACAATGGTCAGGTGTATGCTGTGCATGCCTCTACATCATCTCATGCACATGGTGGTGATCTCCTTCCACCTCCATCTCGCTGACGTGGCAGGTCACCAACTACCATGTGGTTGCCAAGCTGGCGACTGACACTTCTGGGCGGCAAGCCTGCAGGGTGAGAATGGACGGAAGTGGAAGGGAGAGTAGCATTGCAAGAGGTAGAGGGTGGTGTCATTTCTGCTCAAAGAGGAGGATGCTGTAGTCATTCAAAAACTTTTCACCACCGGTGCTGTCATTGTTACCTCTCCCCTCCACTTTTGTCCCTGATTGAAGCTCCCAAACGTATTTTGCTACAATCGTCGCCTGCCTCTCCCTCTCCAGGTGTCTCTTCTCGCCCCAACAGGCGCCATGCAGACGTACGCTGCTACTCTTGTCGGCACTGACCCCTCCAGAGATCTTGCTGTACTCAAGGTGAGTTCTGGAGAATCCCTCGCCGCTTTTGCTGGTTAAGCTCAATGAATGGATGACCCCAGCGATTGACCCACTCAAAGATTCCTACCCTGGCAGCAATTTCTGTTTGAGCGCCCACATTACTTCTGATTGGCCCTGCATTCCTGATGTTACCAGGTAGACCTATCTCAGCCTGTACCTGCAGCAGCAGATACAGGTGCAGCAGCAGACGGTGCAGTGGCGGTAGCAGCACCAGCAGCACCAATGCTGTATCCCATTCCTGTGGGCTCATCATCGGACCTGAGGGTGGGCCAGAGCTGCTTCGCCATTGGCAATCCCTATGGCCTGCAGCACACACTCACTGCTGGGGTACGCGTCTCATTTTCTAGTCGTCTCAAACTTCATTGGCCATCTCTATGGCCTGCAGCACACACGCTGGGGTATGTGGGTCCTGTCGGCTTCAGGCGAATGGTTGTGATGAAACAGGGAGATGCTGCAGATGTGAATGATACTGCCGTGGATGTCACTTGTAGGATGAAGCTGGTACGGATGACACTGGTACAGACAATACTGCTCTACGTGGCATCAGGCTACGTTGTGTACATTGTCGGTGATGATGTAGTATGGCAGGCAGTACTCCCTCATTTCATGAGGTGTTAAGTGGGGTGGGTGATTGATGGGGTGGTGATACTGGGACAGAAGGTTGATGATTGGGGTGATACAGAGGGCTCAGTACATGCCTTGTGCTTTTCCCTCCAGGTCATCAGTGGGCTAGGCAGGGAGATTCCGGCACCAACGGGTGCTGCGATCAGGGGAGCGATTCAAACTGACGCTGCAATCAACGCAGGTGAGACGCTCAGTTGTGACATGCGAGGAGGTGGGGAGAGCGGGGGAAGGAAGGAGGGGATTAGAGTGGGAGGTTTCGACTACTGCTGGCATCAGCTTGACCAATTCCTGCACCGGTTTATGTGAGCGCTCTTGTGAAGCCCTACTGACTGGATTCATTTGTGTGTTCAGGTAATTCCGGTGGTCCTCTGCTCGACTCCTTTGGACGGATCATTGGAGTAAACACTGCAACTTTCACTCGATCAGGTTAGTCATGTCACAGGAGTGGATGTGAGCTTCCGGAGGACTTTGGCTGACTGTTGCAAGTGAGGCGTTTTGGCTGGTAGATGTGCACGATTCTCAACTGTGTTGTGGTTCCCGTCCCCTCCACATTGCACATTACAGGTTCTGGCTCTTCATCCGGGGTCAACTTTGCCATCCCAGTTGACATGGTCAGGAGAGTGGTGCCCCGACTTATTGTCTATGGTGCTCCTAGACCACCAGCTGTGTAGGCACTACGTATTATTTCCTTATTGAGCAGGGGCCAATCGTTGCTCCTCATATTGTATCAAAGGTGGTGATGAAGTAAGAGAGGTTCTGGAATACCGTCATCGCCCGTATATAAGACAGTGTAGAGTAGTAGACAGGGGTTGTCTATTATACGGGTGTCTCTTATCAACAGGCTAGCCTTTCTATACGACACCTATTTGTGTGCACGAGATAAGACATATATGTCTTATAATCAGAACCGGGGTTTGGGGGTTTTCTTATAAACAAGGGGGTGTCTTCTAGACGAACCTTCCTTACTTAAGGGGGGTACATGCATACAAGGGGGTTTTCTTATAATCTTAACTTCTACCTGAACCCCCTCAGTCACCGCCTCCTCACCTGCACTAACAGCAGGCTGTACACCCAGGTCTGGCACACGCCATGCATGCCTAGCCGTCTCCCTAGGCTCGATCATGTGGTCAGCTTCGGCCGCCGCTCCGCGGTAGTTGGGGGTCTCCTGGTACAGCACCTCCAGGCCGGTTGCCACGGCCACCTCCCGCACGCCCTCCGCCTGCATCGCCTCCTCCTCCTCCTCCGCCTCTGGAGCCTGACCGAGCAGGCGCGTGTTGTCGCCTGTGGTCCCTCCGAGGGACATGTCCGCCGAGACATCGGTGGTGCTCCTGGCGCGCAGGTGAGACATTACCATGTGGTTCTCCGTTCCGTCCATCTTGCTTGAGATCCCACAGTGGCGGAACGCGTCGATGATGATCTGCTTGGGGACTTGATCCCAAGCCTCCGCGATCCACTGCAGCACCACGGGGTGCGGAGGCCTCCGCAAGTTCTCTGCGGGTGGGACAGAGGACAGGGCAGCTAGATGTTAGAGACACGGACATGAAGGAGCATGTTTAAGACAGGACAGGAAACTGAACAGGAATAATATCGTAAATGAAGGACCAACTCACCCTTCTTCGTCTTCAGGTGAATCCGTTCACGCATGAACCACCTGGCGTAGCGCGCTCTCACAGCAGCCTTGAAGCACCGGTTGATGGAGACGTCCAGGGGTTGAATCTGGCTCGTACAACCCACTGGGATGACTGCAGGGGTGATGCTGTGCGTGCGGTACGACTGAAGCATCGTCTGGGTGATGTGACCACGGTAGGAGTCCAACACCAGCATCGCACGCCTCGCGTTCTGGCCGCGCTGGGGATTCAGATGGGGTAGCACCTCCTTGGACAACCAGGTTTGCACAGCGCTCTCGTCCATCCACCCGTTGTCCTGTGCTTGGACCACGATTCCTGCCAGGCACATAAGGGACAGACGAGCATCAGCACAGCGGGGCACGCTCATCAGGCAGTCGCAGGGTTGAATTCATTATGCCTACCTTCCAGAATCTCACAGTTGGGGACGTTCTTCATCTTGAACCACACCCACGGCCGCAGCTTCTCCCCGGATGCAGTGCACGCGAGCATCACCGTCAAGCGCGTCTTCTGGTGGCCTGTAGTGCGGATTGGGACCGAGCGCGCGCCACGGTGCTCGATCGTCCGTTCGGCTGGCATCTCCACGAATAGTGTACTCTGGTTCGCGTTGATGATGCGGGCCAGGTCGATGTTGTGCCGCGCCCTGTTGATGCGCACGAACTTCCAGAAGGACTCGCAGTCCTTCGCGCACTCTGCAAACGGGACAAGCGCAACGGAAGCACGGGATGGTTAGACTCTGGGCGAGGTACATGCATTCAATAGCCCGCGCGCGACACGAATTCCTTCAACACGCACCTGTGGACAGACGTTGACCGACCTTGGTCTTCACCCACATCACCAGGTTCCAGCGGTCACGGAAACGTTGGCTCCAATGAGAGCTCGCGTTCCAGTTCTTGCCGGGGTGGTGTTTCTTCATCCACTCGCGGCTCCACTTCTGGGTGTCCTTCACCGAGACGGCCACCCCGTTAGCGCACTGAAGGCAGATGTAGCGGTACAACGCTGCCTCCATGCCGGGGTAGTGTGAGTGGCGCCCCCCCCCCGTACATCCGCTTGTGGCAGTTAGCCGCGCCCTTGTAGAGGCCCGCAGCCGCCTCCGCACTCCATCGTCTGATGCAGGCGATGAACACGATTGACTCCACGCTCGTCTTCTTCAAGGAGCCGAGCTCCTAATAGCGGCGCGCCCACTTAAGCTTCTCGCGCACGGTCCATGCGCGGCGCTTCCTCATAGTGTCTTTGTTGCGAGGGGAAGGCGGGCGGGAATTGGGATTATGGAGGGTGGGGTCCTTCGACGTGACCTTCTCAGGGAACGTGGGAATCGGGCCCGCCACCGCCGCGTACTCATCGTCGCTGGCCAACGTCTCGTTCACGACGATGTCGTCAGGATTCGGCGCCTTCTTCGCCTTCTTCTTAGCCGCACCCTTGCTGGATCTCGGGTCTCCGTCGGATGTCCGCTTCTTGTTGCTTGTGCGGCGACGAGTAGGGGCCTTAGCAGGGGCTTCCACGACCTTGGCTTTTCCCTTCTCCGCAGCGGTGAGTATCGGGCGACGCTCCTCCCCCGGACTGTCGTCGTCAAAGAGCACCACGCGGGCCTGCTTCGACTTGGAGAGTAGGCGATGGCGCAGCCTCCGCTTGAGTAGCGGAACGTCTTCGTCGGTCCCAATGCTCCATGGGTCGTCGTCGCCGCCTTCACCGTTAAATAAGACGGCATCCGCAGCAACCTTGTCGGACTCCGCCACAGCATCCGCAGGCGCAACTTTCTCGAGTTCCGCCCCCACATCGTCGTCAGCCTCCTCATTCGCATCCACTGCCGCTGCCTCGTCGTTGTCACCATCCGCATTTTCACCTCCCCCGTTGTTCGAATCACCAGCCCGCCACTCTTCTACCTCGTCGTCGCTCCCGACCGGCCGATTCCACCATTCGTCCTCCTCGATGTCGGCCGGACCTAATTCGTCGCCCGAAGCGCTGTCGTCGTGGCCGTTCTCCGGCCAATCCTCCTCGGCGCCGTCGCCATTCGCTTCGTCTTCGTCGTTCCCGTCACACCTCGCGCCGGAGGCGGCGGTAGGACTTCCCGCCTTGCTCGCGTTTTTCGCCATGGCTACACGGATATCATCGCTGGGCGAGTTAATTCGCCCGTAGTTATTCACCTGCACGTAAGGACGAGGATAGGCAGAGCCTACGGGTACTTCCGGAATCTCACAGCAGAGCCTACGGCTACGCATGGTTAGTAAGCCTGCCGAGAGCAAGGTTGAGACGAGTATTCAACCTCCTTGAGCACCAAATGAAGTGAGAGCCCGACTACCCCCCCCAGCCAGAGTGCCCCATCCACAGGTGCCGAGCCGCTCCTCTACGAGGCATCTCCTCGTAGAGGACAGCCCTCACGCTGCCAACGTGCTGCCAGCAGCGTTCTGGAAGCATCCCTGCGCTGCTGGCAGCAAAACGACGCTGACAACATCATTAGATGCTGCCAGCACAGAGGAATGTTGCCAGCGGTGGCAGCTTTGCTGCATCCCTCACGTGGCAAGTGTGGGCGCTACATGCATCACCACCGAGGTCGGCTTGTTTTAACGAATTTGGTCTCTGGGTAATTTCTTCACAATTCGCAAGTGTTACAGTCAACTTTTTTTTTTCCATTTATAAGACACCCTAAACCATCCCGTTTACATGATAACTCAAGCATTTTTGCCCGTGTACGAGTTAAGACATATATGTCTTATATCCGGGCGATGACGGTAAGGAGATGACCACAATTTGTTCTTGACTACCGTATATGATTTCTGGTTTGTTTCTTGATCCTACACCACGCTTGAACTTAACAAAGAAAATGCTTGTACAGGCAACCAACGTGGCATGCTGAGGGAACGTTATCCACGTCACCACATCCTCACCCTCGATTTCACCTACTTCGCGAACCCTCGCGAAATAGTCACTCTGCTGTACCTTCGATGTTCTGGATTCGCCAATTGCAGACTCGGGAACCTGGAGCCTGTCAGTTACATGACTGGCTGCGGGTAACCCTCTTTCTTCGTTAGTAGTCGAGAAACTAAGGGAACATCCTTGACTGTACTGCAGCCTCCTTTCCCAACTCACTTCCCATCACACCCCATCCCCGCCACAGCAGCAACGATCAGTTCCCAAGGTAAAACGACCCTACTGATATTGTGGACACCCTCCAGAGAAGATTCTTGGTTGACTTTTACCATGGCTGCCTTTGTGAGCTCTCTCGCGCTCTCCGCCTCCGCGGCTCCCCGCGCTGCCGTCCGCTGCTCCGCTGCGGAACCCGCTCCGTCCAGCCAGGCCGCTCCCGCTCAGGTCCGCGTAGCGTCGTCGGGCCTTCCGTCCTTCGCGAGGGTGTCGGCGGAGAATGCTGCGACGGCGATTGACCCGTCTGCGACGTTCGCGAACGTGATGTGGGCGAAGACGTACAACACGCAGATTCTGGTGGGCGAGAGCGAGAGCACGGAATCGGTCGTGCGACGGTTTAAGAAGATTTGCATGGAGGCGAACATCGTGAACGAGTGTCGCAGGCGACGCTTCTTCGAGACGCAGCAGGACATCGTCAAGCGCAAGCAGAAGGACGCCGCCAGGCAACGCAAGCGATTCTCGTGAGTCTCCCGTGGCTACCCTATCATTGTCCTTTCTGTGTCTGTTTTCCTTTAGCGCAACTATGGCGTTAAGAGACAGCTTTATCGTTCACTAAATAAAAATTAGCGACAATGCAGCCATTCTCTTCGCGTCCGAGACGGCTCGCGGCGGAAAAGTCAGGGTTTATGCTTCCGTCGGACGGAACACGAGAGCGGCTTATCTGCGACGCAAGTTAGGGTTTTGCGCGCATAGAAACGCCAACGGGGAATCGTGGGATGGAGGTTAGTCTGGGCGGCACACATGGCGCGCGAGTGCGGCTTCGACGTCGTTGTAGGCGTTACGCGAGCAGGAATGGGTAGCACGTGGGCGGCACTTGGGCGGCACTCGATGGGACATGACGTCGCTCGTAAATCGCAAAGGAGGCCACGACCAGACTGATTAGATTCGTCAAGTAGTCAGGGTAGGGTGGAGTGGAAGTGGAATCGTGGAGTAAATGCATTCGATCAACTGTAGCAGAGCCTCTCGCGCATCCAACGGCTGTAGCAGAGCAGCAGCAGTTGCAGGAGGGAGTCGAGTAGAAAAATCTTATCGACGCCGCAAAGATCGTCTCATCACACGCGGATGAGGAGTAGCAGCAGAGGCAGCAGCGGCTGGCGTCGTAGGTAGGAGGCTTCCGGCAGTGGCGCAGCTGATTTTAGCGCTATCGGAAACTTATAAAACTGACACAAGAATAGGGACTGTAGCGATGTGTCATGTACAACGCGGTATCGGTCCGTAGCAGCATCCCACCAGTTGCATTACCTGAACGAGACATGTGCGACCGGCTGCGCGTTGCCGGAAAGGCTGTCTTCGTCGCCTTACTGCTGCTCCTAAACTTGCCCCACCTTCTCCTTCGTCTCTAGCCTTATCTCCCGGTCTTCCCCTTGTGCTCCCCGCGTCCCATCCGCCTTCTCTCCAGTACTGCTCTTTCCGCCACACCTGTCACATATACGCGTTACTAAACTCTGTCCATTTTGTTGCTATAACTTTTGCGTTTACACCCGATTGCACCCGTGCCCTTGCAGGCGCCAGCCTAGCAGCAGTTGAGCAACATGGCATATCATTCCATATCATAACATCATACCTTTCCATACCTCATGTCATGGTCATCTGATGCCATGATGTATGTATTCTGCTGCGCATTGCCCTTCCATGCTTCCTCCAGTCCACGCCACTTCTGCCCCTCACCCTTCGTCTTGCGTTCCTCTTCCAGCAGCCGGGAACGCACCGTTCTTGCCCTGTCGGTTTCATTCATGGCCTTTCTTTCTCGTGCTGCTCCCCACCCGTCCACCCCACAACAGGCGTGCCTCCTCCTGCCTGCGCCCTTTCTTCACGCGTGACCCGGCAGCGGCCAGCAAGGCAGCAGCCAGAGACATGCAATGCCTGACCTCTGCACCTCTCGTGCTCTCTGTCTGCTCTCCACCCTTCCTCCCCTTCACAGGCGTGCCTCCTCCGGCCCGCGTCCCTTCTTCACGCGTGACCCGGCGGCGGCCAGCAAGGCAGCAGCCACCTCCAATGACGATGATGATGACTTCTGGGATGCCAAGGTCGAGCTGTAGAGGGCACCTGTTGTCATTTGTGGGCTTTAACGCTGGATATTACTGTACTGTAGCTGCTTCAAGTTGGCAGTGCGTAACTACAGCACTTTCCACGAAGTTCTGATCTACTTGCTAAGTGCAAAAAACTGGACATGCAAGGAAGGAACAATTGAGAAGGTACCGTTGGTGCGGTAGATTTGGGACGTTTTTATCAGATAGCAAAAAAAGTGGTGAAACTGGCAGATTGTGAAAGTGTAGTATATGGGTTATCATTTCATATGGGTTGTAGTACATCGTTCTCGTCTTATATATGTCTACATAACAGCATACACAAATGGGTGGGCTGGTGGGAAATTAGAACTAAAATTTTGAAAATGAAACGTGGGTGGGGACGAATGTCCCCACGTCCCTCTTTTGTAGGCAAAAGAGGGTGAGTAGCGCTTCGGCGCTACCTTTGTTGTGTTGGCCACGTACCCCTTTTCACAATACAAAATTTTAGAAAGTGTTACATTTCATTACACTTTCAAAAATTATCATGTACCAGTATGCAAGGACACCTTAGAAGAGAGCTGACTGGTGAGTGAGGTTATCCTCAAGCTTCCAAAATTACAGTAAGCTGGGAATCTTGTTGAACAAGCGCCCAGTTCAGTGCCCAAGGCGTAGCTAGCTAGCAATACAACTTTTCTTCAGTTAGGTTAGGGCATGCTACAGTACCATATTAACGATTGCAAGACATCGAAGTAGCAAAAAAGCAAAATCATGTCACGGCTTGCTGAAAGCTTCCAGAATGTTCCGGCGAGCCGAAAGCTTCTCCACCTTGTCAGGCTTGAGGGACTGCCAGAGAATGGAGTGACAGGTTGGGTGGGAATGGGGGGGATGGATGATGCGTGAATTATCTAAATTTGAGGCGTCTCAAAACAAAACTGGTTGGGTGGGAATGGTGGGGATGGTGGGGATGGTCACTGGACACCCCCACCAGTGACCAGCAGGGCCCACGATGTCAGGGCAAAACATCCTGATTACCCTGATTTCAGGATGGTGTTTTAAGTTTGCCCTGAAATTTCAGAATGACGATGAAATTTACCCTGTAACGTCAGGATGATTCATGTGTTTTGCCCTGAAATTTCAGAATGGCAGTGAGATTTTGCCCCGAAGCGTTAGGGTGAATGTAGAGGGATGCCCTGACTCATGGGAAGGGGAAGAAGGGGTGGAGGGGAGGGGGGGAGAGGGGGAGAGGGGAGGAGGGAGGCTCGGGGGTGTGTGTGCTAGTTTTGTCCCCCCCCCCCCAAGGTTTTTGCTCAGCCCATTGTAGTGAAACTACTGAACAACCTGCTCCTCTCGTGGCTTCCCCTCCACTCTAGTGTCTTGTATTTTTTTGCCCTGAAACATCCAGATGAATTTCTGTTGGTGCCCTGAAATTTCAGGATTGCCAGGAAATTTTGCCCTGAAAAACCAGGGCATTTTGGAGAGTTTTCAAAAGTTGCCCTGAGGGCCCAGGGTGCCCTAAATCCTAGCACAGGCCCTGGTGACCAGAACTCATGGTTTGAATAAACGCACTTGGAGAAGTGTACTCACATACTCACACAGGGCACAGCATTTCCCTCCGCACCGTCTCACACACACGCACACCCCACCGCACTGCACCGTACCACATCATGCTCGCAACTCACCCCTGCGAGCAGCTTGGAGAGGCGGGCATGCTCCTTGCTCACATACTCCTCGCCCTGCTCCACAATATTCTTCATCACCTTCTGATAGAACACCCCGTGCCTGGTGCGTGGGGCGGGTGGGGTGGGTGAGGTGGGGTGGGTGGAGAGGAGAGAAAGCAGCACTTTGAGAGCTACGTCACTCACTCCTCGCCCTGCTCCACTATGCTCCTCATCACCTTCTGATAAAACACCCCGTGCCTGGTGGATGAGGAGGCGGCATGAGAGGCATGAAAAAGACAGGCGAGAACCTTCAAAGCTCCTCACATGACCTCTAGAATTCATTCCCCCATTTCCCCCACAAGCTCTCTCCCCGCTCCCTCATCCCCGTCTCTCAAAATCCTCCCCCCTTCTCTCCACACTCTTCCCCTCAGCACTCTCACACCCCTCCAGCTCTCCTCCCTCCTCTCAACATACTTCCATGTCAGGGTCACACCGCTCCCACCGCCCGCACCCTTATGCCCCACCCACTCCTTCCTCCCCTCCTCCCCCCCTGAACTCACTCCTCCATGGCAGGCGCCACCACCATCCCCATCACCCGCACCCCAATGCCCCACTCGCCCGCCATTCCCCCCCTCCTCTACTCCCTGCTTTCCCCCCCAACTCCTCCAGCTCAGGCGCCACCACCATTCCCATCGCATGCTCCCTTATGCCCCACTTGGCCCCTAACCCCGTTCCCACTTCCCCCCACCCACCCATCCTCCCCTCCCTCGCACTAACTCCTCCAGCGCGGGCGCCACCACCACTCCCATTGCGCGCTCCATTGCCCCACTTGTATGAGACACTTCCTCAACCCCCTCCGCCCTACCCGTCCCCCCCCCCCCCCCCCAAGCAATTCACTCCTCCAGCATGGCCGCCACCACCACTCCCATTGCCCTTGTACCCCACTTGCTCCCTAACGCCTTTACCCGCGCCCCCCACCCAAGCAATTCACTCCAGCTCGGGCGCACAACCACTCCCATCGCCACCACCACCACCACCACTCCCATCGCCACCACCACCACCACCACTCCCATCGCCACCACCACCACCACCACTCCCATCGCCACCACCACCACCACCACTCCCATCGCCACCACCACCACCACCACTCCCATCGCCACCACCACCACTCCCTTCGCCACCACCACCACCACCACTCCCATCGCCACCACCACCACCACTCCTAGGAGTGGTGGTGGCTCCCCCAGCTCGGGCGCACCACCACTCCCATAGCCCTTACGCCCCCACTCCCCCTCTCCCCCGGCCCCCCTCAAGCAACTCACTCCTCCAGCTCGGGCGCCACCACCACTCCCATCGCCCGCTCCATCAACCCCTGCTTCTCCGCCTCCGGCGCTTCCACGAAGCTTCCCGCCATCGCGTCCAGCTCAGCAATGCGGCCCACCTGCACGGGGGGTGGGGGGGAGAAGGGGGGGTGAGGGGGCGGAGGGGGAAAGATTGGGGAAAAGGGGAAGGGGAGAGATGGGGGAGGGTCAGAATAGACCTAGGGTGCCCGCAGTGCCTTGGGAAGGGAAACCACAGGAGGTCAGTCCAGTTTTTTTTATAGTTCTAAAAAAAGCAGGTTTTGAGAATTAATTTTTTAATTAATAAGAAAAAAAACAAAGGTGAGCTTGGTGTCAGAACAGAGGTTGATGAAATACACGAGATTCGTGAGGGTGGGCAGGGGGGTTGCTTGCGCTTGAAGGGGAGAGTGACGTACCCTCACTTTACCTGTACCATACCTGAGAAGACCACAGTGACAGTGGCTTATCAAGGGAGACGCCTTAGGAGGATTGTGTGGTGCCGGCCCAGTGATTGACGAAATGCACGAGGTGCACAAAAGCGGCCAGGGGTTACCTGGTAGGTCTAGGTAGGGAGTGCCGTACCTCATTGTACCGTACCTTATCAAGGGGAACACCATAGGAGGACTGTGTGTTGCCGGTCCATTGGTTGACGAAGTGTACGAGATCAACAAGGGTGGGCAGGGGTTCCCCCTTGGCGATCAACGAGGGAAGAGTGCTATCTCAATGCACCGCACTGTACCATACGGGAACACCATAGGAGGACTGTGTGGTGCCGGTCCATTGATTGACGAAGTGCACGAGGTCAACGAGCGTGGGCAGGGGGGGTCCCCCTTGAGCTCCCACGAGGGGAGTGTGTCGACCCCTCATTGCACCACACCTTATTGTACCGCACTAAACCACACCTTATCCAGAGGCACCCCAGAGGCGGACTGTGTGGTGCCGGTCCACTGGTTGACGAAGTGCACGAGATCCGTGAGCGTGGGGAGCGGGTCGCCCTTGAGGTCCTCGCCATACTTGTTTGTCTTGGTGAAGAACTTGAAAAACGGATACTCTGTGATCTTGAACCTGGAGGGGGGGAAGAGGGGGAGGAGGGGGAAGAGGGGGAAGAGGGGGAAGAGGGGGAAGAGGGGGAGGAGCACAGGGAGGAGAGGGACAGGCGGGCAGGCGGGCAGGCAGGGAGGGCATGGGGTGGGGGGAGGTGAAGCGGATCCACTTTGAGGTCCTCCCCGTACTTGTTGGTCCTCCCCGTACTTGTTGGTCCTCCCCGTACTTGTTGGTCCTCCCCGTACTTGTTGGTCCTCGTGAAGAACTTGAAGAATGGATATTCTTTGATCTTCAACCTGGGGGGAGGAACACGGCAGGGGTCGGAGGGCAGGGGGGCAGTGGGGCAGGAAAGCAGAGGGGAAGGGTGGGAAGTGTGGCAGGGGAACGCATGGGGAGGGGGAACGCAGTGGGAGGGGGAACACAGTGGGAGGGGGAACACAGTGTGCCACACCTGCCACATCAGCATTGCGCACCTGCCACATCAGCACGCCCCACATGCCACATCAGCACGCCCCACCTGCCACGTCATCACGCCCCACCTGTGCGCGAGCATGCCATTGTTGTCGGCATCCACCTTGGCGAACACAATGCTCTGCTCGCCCTTGAAGATGTTTGCTAGCTTCTCCACGGTCTGGTGTGCACACACACACGGGGGAGAACGGGTGGAGGCAGGGCGGAATGGGGGCAGCATGGCGTTGCTGTCTATCAGCATCCGCTCTCCTCGTCATCAGAAGTGACGGGTGAGATGAAACGACGGGTGAGATGAAACGACGGGTGAGTCAAAACGAAGGGCGAGACGAAACGACGGGTGAGATGAAACAACGGGTGAGTGACGTGAAATGACAGTTTACCTTGGTCATCTCCTTGCAAGGCTTACACCTGGGATGAGGGAGAGAGGGGAGTGGAAGAGAGGGGAGTGGGAGAGGAGGGAGAGGCAGGAATGGGGATGGTTAGGCAAGGAGGAAATCAGGAAGAGAAAAGCGCGAACGCATGTAAACGAGTGTGTGGGTGCGAGTGCATGTTTGTAATTGCACCATTGGCCTGGAAAGCAGCGTGATGAAAAACGTATCTCAGCTCACTTCCTCACTCACTCCCTCAATTACTCACTCACTCCCTCACACACTCACTCACTCCCTGACTCACTCACTCACTCTTGATCCTCCCTTCTTGAATAAGCTCACCCAGCATCGTAGTAACCCCGTTCCGTTCGTCTCATTCAAGAAAGTGCGCGCGCGAAGCAAAGAGGTGATTGATTCCAACCAGCATGCCCCGGGGTTGAGTAACCATCTGACAACCCCTCTTGGCCTCACTCACACCAACAACCACCACTCACGCTAAACCCCACCACTCACGCTAAACCCCACCACTCACGCTAAACCCCACCACTCGCACCAACTACCACCACTCACGCAGCGTCATAGTAGTAGGTGAAGAGGTGCTTCGTGTCGTCCAGCATGACCACTCACTCACTCATTCATTCACTCCCTCACTCATTCATTCACTCACTCACTCATTCATTCACTCACTCACTCATCATCCACTCCCTCACTCATCATCCACTCCCTCACTCACTCATTCATTCACTCACTCACTCATTCATTCACTCACTCACTCATCATCCACTCCCTCACTCATCATCCACTCCCTCACTCATCATCCACTCCCTCACTCATCATCCACTCCCTCACTCATCATCCCTCCCTCACTCATCATCCCTCCCTCACTCATCATCCACTCCCTCACTCATCATCCACTCCCTCACTCATCATCCACTCCCTCACTCATCATCCACTCCCTCACTCATCATCCACTCTCTCACTCATCATCCACTCCCTCACTCATCATTCACTCCCTCACTCATCATCCACTCCCTCACTCATCATCCACTCCCTCACTCATCATCCACTCCCTCACTCATCATCCACTCCCTCACTCATCATCCACTCCCTCACTCATCATCCACTCCCTCACTCATCATCCACTCCCTCACTCATCATCCACTCCCTCACTCATCATCCACTCCCTCTTGCCTCCACTCACGCAGCATCATAGTAGTAGGTGAAGAGGTGCTTGGTGTCGTCCAGCATGACCGAGGGGAACCAGTCACAGCCACACACTCTTAATGCAATCCCTTGACAGCACTCACAATAAACACCTCCACTCACTCACACCAACTACCACCACTCACGCAGCATCATAGTAGTAGGTGAAGAGGTGCTTGGTGTCGTCCAGCATGACCGAGGGGAACGCCCACGTGGTCAGCTCCATCACCCGCGACTCCTGCTCCGTCTCCACCCTGCCCTTGGTGCCTGGTGGATGGGGGAGAGGAGAGAGGACAGGGGGCAGAGGAGACAGACGATCCAATGGGGACAGGCCGTGCCTTTTGAGTTGGGAGGACACACCCCACGTGGTCAGCTCCATTACTCGTGACTCCTGCTCTGATTCCACCCTGCCCTTGGTGCCTGCATGCAGGGTCGGGATCGCGGGAAAGGGAGAAGGAGAGGAGAGGAGCACGTGGAGCAAGGGGCCTGTGAGTCAATATGCGCCCACGTGGTGAGCTCCATAACTCGGACTCCTGCTCTGATTCCACCCTGCCCTTGGTGCCTGCATGGAAGGAAACGGGAGGGGGATATGCACGGGAGAGGGAGGCGGAGGAGGGGGAAGGGGAGGGGGAAGGGGAGAGGGTCCAGTAGGGAGGAGTTTCAGGCAGCGAAGGGAGTGGAGGTTGGGGAAGAAACGCGTCAATTACATTGGTATGTATGACTTTTGAGAATTCTCAAAAGTCATACCACACATCTTTTTTTGTCGGTTGTATGTTAGAACCACACATCCCGCACTGCCCACTCGCCAGGCAATGCGCCTCAAACTACAGCACAACTCCCCAAACCCACTCGCCAAGCCTGCCGCCCACTCGCCCAATCCTGCCGCCCACCACTCACCAAGCCTGCCACCCACTCACCGAGTCGACTGTTGATAAAATCCACGAAAACATTGGCCTTCCTGTCCCCTCCATAGCTGGCATGTCGTGGCATGGGATGACGTAGCGTGGGGTGACGTGGCACAGTGTGGAATGGCATGGGCGCAAGGCAAGAGGATAGGGGGATGGATAAGCTCCACGTGGATGAGTGATGTGTATGCTGGGTTAGGAGAGAGGGGGAGTGGCGGATAGAGAATGAGTTGCCAAGCATATAGCACAGCACCACACAGCACCGCACAGCACCCACGCTGCCCCCTCCTTGGGCAGCAGCAGAGAAGCATATGAGCGTGGTGTAGCCTTTTGTGAATCGACTCAACTGATTGCATAGTACTTAGGTTAACATCTATTGGTGGCACACCCTATCACACCCCATCACACCCCATCACACCCCATCACACCCCAGAACCTCTCAGCACACCCCAACACTAACTCCACTCCCCCCTAGCAGAGGGGAACCACTTGCACGTGGGGATAGTCTTACAATTAATTCCCCACGCACGCACACGCGACTTACTGGCACGGCACAGCTCAGTACCGCACAGCACCACACATCACTCACTCTTCCGCTCCCCCCTGGCCAGCAGCGGGGAACCACTTGAGCGTGGGGTATCCGCGGACCTCGTGATTGGTGCACAGCTCCGCGTGCGCCTGGCAGTCCACCTGCGCGCGCACAATGGGGGGAGGCGGGGAGGGGAAAAGGCGGAGGTGGGTGAGGGGAAAAGGCGGAGGTGGGTGAGGGGAAAAGGCGGAGGTGGGTGAGGGGAAAAGGCGGAAGTGTGAAGGGGGATCAATCAGGCGCCTTTAAACGCACAGCTCCGCGTGCGCCTGGCAGTCCACCTGCGTGGATGGCAGGGGGAACGCGGGAGGGGGTTAAGGGGAGGCGGAAGGGGAACGGACGGAGGGGGAGGATAAAGGGGGGAACGCGAAAGCGGGGATTCGTGAGGCGCCTTCAACCTTGGCGACGCGATGCGACCCACCTTGGCGACGCAATGCGACGCACCTTGGCGACGCAATGCGACCCACCTTGGCGACGCAATGCGACGCACCTTGGCGATGAATTGCGACGCAGCTTGGCGACGCAATGCGACGCACCCTGGTGACGCAATGCGACACATCTTGGCGACGCGACACGACGCACCTAGCGACGCGATGCGACGCACCTTGGCGATGCGGATGGCGTCGGAGTCTTTGAATGCCGTCGCCACCTTCTCCCAATCCGGCGCCAGGCGCTGGCAGTGCCCGCACCTGCGAAAACAGGGTTGCGCGAAATGCGAATTCGAGTTGCGAAGAAGCGGGAACGCGAGTTAACAAAGGTGTCGAGTTAGTAACACGAACGACGATATCCGTGTAGCTTGTTATCATTGGGTTGAAGCAATTGCCAGGGTTAAACCGGAGGGCCAAGAAGGCCCAAATTGCCTCAACCTTCCTAACCTTGGTTGAGTTTGGCCCTCGCACCCAAAATCTTGGCCATTTACGTTCTTGGCCCGCGGGTCCGCAAGCCCAGCCAATGGCTTGGATGACCACTTGGGATGGAAATGCAGGTGGGATGCACTGGTTACCACTGCACTATAACATCGACCTGCTAAGAATTCGCAGCGATCCGCTAACAGAAACGAGACCGGGGATAACGTCATCATGAGATACAGCACGCATTATCACGGGCGGGACGCGCCAGGGAGCGTAGAACTTCACGAATGTGACCGAGTCGCCTCCCACGTGATCGTAGAAGTTCGCCGGCGTGAGCTCCAGCACGTCCGAGTTCTCCGCGCCGTCCGCCGCCGATCGCGGCACTGCGAGCAGCAATGCTGTCAGCAGAACAAGCGCGGCAATCGCGATAGGCGGAGATCCGGTGACGAGTCGCGGGCTGTCCATTATGATCGAGGACTCGACGGAAACTGTCACGCACGGCAGCGCGGCGGCTTCTACATAAATATTCCGGAACAAGACTGGGACAGAGGAAAAGACTTCACCGCCTTCACTCCTGTGAGGATGATGAGGAGAACTGTGGAACTGTCAGTCAAGTTCAGCAGCAGTATCGTACTCAACACTCCACTGCCTCCACCCCAAGCTACAGAGGAGCAGTCTTTTTGTCGTAATCACTCGGGGAGGTGAAAGCTGGATACACCGGACGGTTTATATCTCTTGTTCCGTTTTGAATCGAAGTGAGTATCCTCTTTATAACATCGGTAACAGGGCTGTCGCTTGCAGGGCGTTTGCCCTGCTGGACCTTGAATTCCAGGGCTGGGTTGCCCTTGAAAACTGAAATTGATGGGTTGGAAATATTCTGGCCCTGATTCTTTACAGGGCTGATTTCGGGCTCAGGCTTGGTGTGTAAAGAGCAGAATTTAGGCGAGCCCTGGAACAAAATCTCTCGAGACCCCCCTTCTACTCCCCTCCCCCCCCCAACACTCCTCCCTCTCCTTCCCCTTCGTTTCTAACCTGATTGCATCCAACAAGGCAATTTCGAGTTGCTTGGTTGGGCCACAAATTTAACTCAGCCTAGAACTTGTGCTTAAACCAATCACAGCTCGCTCTCTGTGGAGTGGGTGACGGTTAAGGTTGGGTAGAAGCGCACAAGAACTACCCTGAAGGTTGGGTAGTAAAGATGTGCAGACGATCATCGGTTCTGCAAAGGCTAGGAAGCCTGCAAAGCGTGCGTAGTGATATGACGCTAACTATTTCTCTTCTTGTCGTGTTTGCTTGCTTGTCGTTGATCTCAAACGTAGTTGTAAGCTTGGTAATTGAAATGAGGCTCCTGATTTTTTCGCGCCAAACCTGAATCAAGGGAGGAAAAATTTCTAGCCCTGAAGCCTAAGGGCTGAGATTCGCCCCAGCCCTGCTAAATACAGGGTCATACATGCCGGGCCCCCTGATTTGTCCGGGGGGCCCAAAACGAAACAACAGGCCTGATCGGTAACCTCGAAACCTGTCCACAAGACCAAGTTGTGGGACTTCAAGAGGAAATTCAGGACGAGTCCCGATCGAGACGCGTGCTGATGCTTACCTCTCCGCTAATGGCTGGAAGCAGCCGGACTTCTAGAAGCCGCATTTGCAAATGGAAGTTGAAACAGTAATAGCTTACACTCAGTACGTTTATTGTGTACAGCTTGATACAAGATTTTCAGGGGGTCCGAGAAATAGGTTCTTTGACTATTCATAATAATATCAAACCCCAGGGGCTGTTAGTGGGATGAAAATATTAAGGAACTAAAGCTTTTTGCCACTGTGAAAGCTATATAATAACTGAAAGCGAACGACTAGCACTAGCCTGATCAGATAATATCTATTTTCAACACTAAAACATAGCGTTTGAACAATTCATACACTATAACAAAACAGGATCTTCTAAACCAATGTTTTTAAATTCTCAATATCTGATCCACAGTTGACGAGCTGACCAGTGGAAGGGAGACTATCCATAAAGAATGAAATGCTTGTCACGAGTTATGATGGGTTTGGAATGTCGGTCTCTATGATGGGTTTGTTGACGGCTGCCGTTGACGACACCCTGCTTCTCATGTCATTGGATGCGATGCGTGTGTTCTGTCGACGCATGCGATGATGCGATACCCGAAGGGCATGCGACTGCGGGTAACGGATGCGAAAACGGGAGTGGGAAAGGTGGTTTTAGGTGCTGATGGATGGCCAAATATTCGTGCGGCTTCGCACGATCGACGCGCGGTAAGCGCGGGAACACGAATACCGCGGTTGTGAAAAATCGGCTGCGGCGAAAATTGAAATTTGAGGGGGCGGCTCGGCTTTCAATTTGCGCCTTTCCACTCCGAGAGAAATTTCGACGCCAATTTCAACGCCCCCCAACCAACATTTCGATTTTCACCAGGCAGATTGGTCAGCAGGCACCTCCGGGTCGAGGCACCAGTGGAGCTGGGCAGCAGGTGGGGCAGCAGCGCAGCAACAAAAATCGATTTGACTCGACTCGACTCGGCTGAGGGTTTCCCATCCAAACGAAAATCCATCCAACGGGCGGATGGAAACGAGATTTGTAGGGCGGGCCGCCTAAAGGTGGGGCTGGGCGTCAAAGACTTACCAACTCAAAACCAGTTCGAGGTTTCGTCACGAAACGGAGGTGCGTAGATGGCGGTGGGAGCTCGTAGAAGCATAAGCTGATTATCCGATAGCGCCGACACTTCCGCTTAGTTGCGTGAGACGAGGCAGATGTACGTCCGTCCGTAGAACGTTATCGTAGCTGCAGTCTCCCCTCCTTGTGACCAGGCCGCCATAGCTCCCAACACGGCTAATCCCAGTAACGCCATTTCGTTAACGGCCAGCAGTTGCCGGCACCTACCGACAGCGTTAGTTTCCATAGTTGTTAGTACTAAAACTATATTAAAAAAAACTTCACTGCCGATCCACGAGCCACGGCAATAGCGATATTCAGACGAGATAACATTCATCCATGGCGCAACTCGCCATGCTTCCGCTAATGGAGGAATCACCCGTGGCCGACGATAACGGCGGATATAGCGGCGGATATAACGGCGGCATGTTCGCTCAGCAGACAAGCCCCGCGCCTCCCTTATGGACCTCCCTAGACGCCATGCACGGGCTGGACCACGAAGCTTCTGAGTTCCTTCCACTGGACGTATCCGACGGAGACGAATCGCAGCAGCAGCAGCAACAGTCGGACTACACCCACCACCACAGTCACCAGCCGTCGGATCATCTCAACGTACGGCGAGATCTTCTCGAAGACGATAACTTCGGCAGCAGCGAGTTCGACCCGTCGTCAGCGGCGAGCGGAGCGGGGGAGTGTGTGATGCTGTACCAGGACGCGCAGAGGGGGGAGGAGGAGGACATGGTGGGGAGCCTTAACCTCCGCATCTCCCCGCAACCCGATGCGTCCGATCTCACATCGGCGCTTTTCTCCGAAGGCCAGGCGAGCAACAACGGCGGCGGTGCGACGCTCGGCGGGTCATCGTGGCAGCTGTGCGACAATCTGTTCGCAGAGCCGATCGTCGACTGCGGCGAGCTGCTCTCCGGCGACGGCGATGGCGACGATCTGCTCGCGGCGTCCGCGGGGCACGACGAGGCGGAGCAGGCGGACGGCGGAAGCGGCGGAGAAGAAATGGAGATGAGAGACCCAGCCGCCGCGTATCTCACGCCGGAAAAGGCACCGCAGATGCCGACGACTTCGGACCCGGCGGAGGTGGCAACGCCGGGGTGTGACAATAGCGAGGGCGATTTCAGCACGCCGCAGGTACCAAGCGCGGGTTTCTCCCGCCCGCGCAGCCGCTGCCCGACGGAGCGGGGACTGGCGCAAAAGGGCGCGCTCATGACCCCGTCCGGCGGAGCAACGGCGCGCTCAACCCGCGAGAACCTGATGCGGCGGCTGGGGCAGGCGGGCGGAGCGGCGGAGCCGTGGACCCCCGTAACCCCCGCGAAGGACGAGGCGGGGAAGCGGTCCCCCGACCAGCTTGCGCGCGTGGCGGTGTCGCTGGATGCGGAACTCGGTCTGTTCGCGGACTCCCCGCCGCTGCTGTGGAACGGAATGGCGCAGCAGCAGCCGCCCCAGACGCAAGGGCAATGCTTCCAGATGCCCCAGCACCAACAACAGCAGCAGCAGCAGCAAGTGGCGTTCAGCAACGGACGAATGCTCGAAGCGTCGAGTTCTCGGACCATGCCTGCCGGCGCCGTGCAGAGCATGCTCGGCGCGCAGCAGCAGCAGCAGCAGTACGGGGTGGCGAGTCAACAGCAACAGCAGCAGGGCTTGGCGGGGCAGCACGGGTTCTGTGCGACGCCCGGGGAAGGCGCGCACATGCGCGCGGACCCCGCGGAGGCGTCCGACATGTCGCTCTTCTTCGATATGGAGCAGCAGCAACAACAGCCCCTGCCGTCGCCGCCGCAGCTCCAGCAGCCGCAGCAGTCCCAACAGCAGTACCACCAGCAGCAGTACCAGCAGCAGCAGCAGCAGCAGCAGCAGCCACAGCAGCAGTACCAGCAGCAGCATCAGAGCCGGGGGTATCAGCAGATGCAGCAGCAGCAGGAGTCGGACGTGGTGCGTGATTTCCTCTCCTCGTCTCCAGACGGCGATGCTGCTCTCGACAGCTTGGTTCTTGACGGCCTGCCGTGCGACAGACGGCTGTCCGGCCAGATGATGCTGCCCAAGGATCTCGCATCGTTGATGAACGACGCTGACGTGGACGCGTCTGCCGCCACGTGGCCGCAGCCAAGCAACAACAACGCTGTGTCACCTCCCCTAAGTAACGGCTACAACACCGGTGCTGGTACCCTCAGTATGGATGCAGCAGCAGCTGCTCCTACTGCTACTACTGCCTCGGCCGGAGCCTGCGTGACTCGCCCGCCGTCGGTTTATCCTGCTGCCCCCTCCTCCTCCTACCAATCCTCCCATCTCCTCACCGCCTCCTCCTCCGGCCCTCTGCTCGGCTCCTCCTCCGCCGGACCTCCCCCGCCTCCGCGCGTTCTCTCCGCGCCTGCGCCGTCCGCGTCGTCCGCGCAATCCGCCGCGCCCTTGCGCCTGACGATGCCGCTCCTGGTGATGAACAGACGCGCGCCCGTGCCCCCTGCCGCGCAGGTGGGTGGCGGTGCTTCCGCCCCTTCAATGTTGCAGCAGCAGCCGAAGGCGATTCACTTGAGCTGTTCGTCCTCCCAGCAGCTGCACCTGCAGCAGCCGCAGCAGCAGGCGCCACCCATGCATCAGCACCAGCAACGACAGCCGCAGCCATACCAACCTCAGCAGGGCCAGCAGCCACCGCAGCAACAGTTCCAGCAACAGCAACACCTTCAGCAGCAGCATCAGCAGCAGCATCAGCAGCAGCATCAGCAGCAGCTTGCCCATCCTCCCCAGTACCAAATGCTTCCGCAAGCCAACCACCAGGCCACCTCCTCCCACGCGCAAGGTCGCCACGAGCACCACCATCAGCACAACTCAGCCTGCCCGTACCACAGCCAGCAGCACCAGCAACCCCAGCACCACCAAGCGCAGCCGCAACTCCAGACACAGCAGCGCGTGCAGCAGCAGCAAAGCGTTTGCCCCACTCACCCCCAGCACCAGCAGCAGCAGTCGCACCAGCAGTCGCACCAGCAGCCGCAGCAGCAGCAGCAGCAGCAGCCATACGCCCAACCTTGCCAGCCGCAGCAGCAATGGCAGGCAGCCCCTCCTGCTGCTCAGCAACAGCCGCAACATCAACAGCAACAGCAACATGTCAGCAACAATAGCCGCAATGACAGCAACTACGTCCGTCAACCTCAGTTCCAGGCACAGCAGCACCTGCCCCAGCAGCAGCCAGCCATGCCACACCAGCCGATGAATCAGCCACTGAAGCCGCAGCAGCAGGCAGCACCACGGGTACCCCCCGCGTTTCAGCAGCAACCGCACCCACAGCAGCCTCAGCTGCAGCAGCAGCAGCAGCCGCAGCAGTCGCAGCAGCAGCTGCCGCAGCAGCCACGCATGCAGCAGCAATCTCAACTGCAGAGGCAGAACAGCCAGTCTCGTGGCTGCAGTTTGCCTCAGGGACCCGTCTCTGTTCCTCCTGCACCGGCTCCCAAGCAGCCTGCTCAACGACCGACGACGTCCGGAGGTGCGAAGCGGAAAGCAGAGGAGCCACTCAGCGCCAGTGGGAAGGCCACGTCATCACGAGCCCAGCCTCCAGCTGTGAAGAGGATCAAATCTGAAGACGCTTGCGAGGCGACAACCAGGAAAGCTTCGCCTGTGACTGCTTCTGCTTCTGCTCCAGCTTCAGCGGGGCCGGTGGATCTGACCTGCAGAGAGCAGGAGCAGCTGGGATTGGAGACTGGCGACGACAGTGATGGGGTGGTGTTAAACGAGCCATCAGTGAAGGGATCTCAAAGTGGTACAACTGCTGCAGCCGCTGCATCTGCTGCTGGTGCTGTAGGCGCTTCTGCTGGTGCGGTCAAGGCTGAGGCTCCCGCAGCTGATGCGAAAAATGTGAAGGAGGAGCCAGGCAAGGCCGGGAGCCGGGCAGGCGGATTGACTGGAAGCAGCTCTCAGAAGGAGAGTGGTAACCAGGCGTTCCAGGATGACTTGGGGGAAGATGGAGCGGTGGAGGACGGGGAGGACGACGAGGGAGGGGTGATGGTGGGACGGAAGAGGTCGTTTGTGCAGAATCCGGCTGCTTCTGCTGCGCGGAAGAGAAGGCATGACATGAACCAGCGGTTGAAAGTGCTCGTGGATCTCGTCCCTAACAGCAGCAAGGTGTGTGCGGGTCCTGAAATCAAGTCTCTTTCTTTTTGCCTTATCTGAGCCTCGTTTTGCCTGATATCACATGAAATGTACAAACAGAAGGCACGTGGCTAAAAAGTTCCTGTTTCATTTCTGTGTGCCTGTTGTTTATGATACAGGGAGACACTGCATCAATGCTGCTTGAAGTTATTGACTACGTGAAGGCACTGATGTCTCGGATCTCTGTAAGTCGCATGTTCAGACAACTTCTCTCGCTTGTCCATTTTGCAAAGATTTTGACGCTTTTGTTAAGACTCGAATCGTTTCTTACCTTCTTTCAGTAACTTTCGTGAGTGCAGGAAGCAGTGGGCGAGAACACCAGTCAAGGGCTAGGACTGACCAAGAGTTCAAGCATCCAGAGCCAAGGATCACCACAAGTGGTAAGAACCCAATTCATTATCAATCACTCCCTATACATTCACTCGTCTCCTTCCATCATATGTTCCAGCATACGTCCCTGAGCCACGGATTTTTCAGCTCTAGTCTCACTCTGTTTCGTCCTGCTCCATGATTGTTTCTGAATTGGTTTTCAGGAATCCGAGTCCAATCCCAATGGATCACAGCAGTGGACTTCACAACAATCCGCTCCGCAGCAATCCATCTCCTGCAATGGGACCTCGATGTTACCGCCAACACCATGTAACAATCCAACGGCTGGCATGCTTCCCGCGATACCGACGAACGGGATGAGTGCGCGAGCCCTTCAGGCTGCGAAGTTCCGCATGCGACGAAAGTTGATGGCAGCGAAACTTGAAGCGGAACGGAAGAATGGCGCTGCACCGAGCGCTACGAAGGATAGCGAAAACGGCGAGGTGGTTTCAAGTGATGGTGACAAGTCAACGGGTGACGCGAAAGGCCCCCAGCGAAATCTAGCTTCGCGCCAATGCGCTCTCGTCAAAGTAGCACTTGCTAGGAAAGTATACGCACTTCAGCTGAAGAATCACAATGCTATGTAGAGTTCGCATAAACGAAACATAGGCATGGCAATAACAAACCCACCCTTAAATTGATTTGTTCTAATGTATTGCACTGCTATATTGATTTCCCTTTACAAGAGCTGGCACGCTAACAGAGCAGTGATATAGAAGCGAAAGGCTCCACGTGATACACAACCTCCAGTGCAGGGCTTCAGATCCGTTTTGGGCCACCCTTAGTAATCAGGGTTCTAGGTATAGTCAACCCTGATGCCTAAGGTGAAATTTTTGTTTCCCTGACAAATGCAGGGTAAAAAAACTGTAACACTGTTTGGCAAGGGTATTTTTTTCAAACATTACTATATGGATATTTTTGAGTTAGTTAAGTTCAAGACTTAGTGGCTCAGCTGGTGTGAGACGGAATAGGGCCTGAAAGGCATAGGTTCGAGATTCGTCGAAGTGATTTTGCAGGGGCCCGCATAGTGTTTCGTCTCGCCACGTAGCATTCGGTATCAGTATTACTGGGACTGAACACTGTACAGTCAGGGAAATATGTTCCTTACGCTGTTTTTCAAAGGGTACAAAAAAACTTACACTTTCTGGCCTAGGGTAAAAAATCCACTACCCTGTCTGTGAACGGGTAACTGAAAAAAAGCGGCCGCCAGTCAGTGCAAAAAGGGTATTTTACCCTGATAACGAGAGCCCTGCTCCAGTGCTTGCTTGTTATATACACACGTTGGAGGCCACTCAAGCATCCGTCTCAGTTTTGGGGAAAGAGATCAACTGCCGTACAGTACGACACAATGGCTGATTGGGTTTACTTCGATGCTCTGCCAGCATTAGGGACGAAAGCTGACAATACATTCTTTCGAATGGTGAAGTCATCGGCCTTTTCAGGCTTCAAATCCTGCCACACAGTCAGGTAGTGGCAAACAGAGCAGTAGCGAGCAGATCAGTCATGAACAGTGAGGCTGTAAGTCCGATGGTGGAGGTCCAGCCAACACACCACTCACCATTCCAAAATTTGCAAGCAGAACCACTGAAAGCACCAAAGGATCTGGCTCGCAAGTTGCAATGACCATGAACATCAGAGAGTGCTTTACAATGAAACTAGATGATGGTACGAACAGTACCCACCCCGTCAAGGACTTTGGAGAGGCGCGCAATTTCCTTCTTTACATACTCGTCCCCCTTTTCCACCACACTCCTCATCACCTTCAGGTACCGCTCTGCATGCCTGCAAGGCACAAGGGAAGGAGGGCGGGAGGCGGGGAGTGGGAGGGGAGAAGTGGTTTTTGAAACGTATGAATATCTCCTGCACATGCACCCCCTTTGTCCACCCCGCTCTGCATCAAGTAAAGCTCGTCCACCCCTCCTTCTAACCCTCTCTTACTCACCCTCACTCCGTTCTCCCTCTATGTGTCTTGTCCCTCACTCTCTCACCCCCCCCCTGGCTTTGCTCAACCCCTCTCACCTCCCTATCTTGAAAAATCCCCATCCCCTCTTTACATCTCTTCATTCCCACTCCTCTCTCATCGCTCCCCAATCTCTCCCCTCTCTCCCCCCTCTTCCCCACCCTCTCTCCCTTCTCCTCCCTTTCTTAGTCACCATTTCACAGTCGCCGGCACAGCCACTGCGTCTGCTTCTGCCATCAGACCAGCCCTCTCTTGAGCCGAAGCTTCCAGGAATCTACTCGCAATTCTGTCCAGAGACTCAATGCGTCCAGCCTGCACAAGCAAGCAGCAGAGGGAGAGGTAGCGGCAAGAAGGACTATGAGTCCCCATCCCTATGAGTCCCCATCCCTATGAGTCCCCATCCCTATGAGTCCCCATCCCTATGAGCTGACTGAAATGATCCAATCCACCGCATTGGTTAGTCCCCATCCCTATGAGCCAACTGAAATGATCCAATCCACCGCATTGGTTAGTCCCCATCCCTATGAGCCGACTGAAATGATCCAATCCACCGCATTGGTTAGTCCCCATCCCTATGAGCCGACTGAAATGATCCAATCCACCGCATTGGTTAGTCCCCATCCCTATGAGCCGACTGAAATGATCCAATCCACCGCACTGGTTAGTCCCCATCCCTATGAGCCGACTGAAATGATCCAATCCACCGCATTGGTTAGTCCCCATCCCTATGAGCCGACTGAAATGATCCAATCCACCGCATTGGTTAGTCCCCATCCCTATGAGCCGACTGAAATGATCCAATCCACCGCATTGGTTAGTCCCCATCCCTATGAGCCGACTGAAATGATCCAATCCACCGCATTGGTTAGTCCCCATCCCTATGAGCCGACTGAAATGATCCAATCCACCGCATTGGTTAGTCCCCATCCCTATGAGCCGACTGAAATGATCCAATCCACCGCATTGGTTAGTCCCCATCCCTATGAGCCGACTGAAATGATCCAATCCACCGCATTGGTGAGTCCCCATCCCTATGAGCCGACTGAAATGATCCAATCCACCGCATTGGTTAGTCCCCATCCCTATGAGCCGACTGAAATGATCCAATCCACCGCATTGGTTAGTCCCCATCCCTATGAGCCGACTGAAATGATCCAATCCACCGCATTGGTTAGTCCCCATCCCTATGAGCCGACTGAAATGATCCAATCCACCGAATTGGTTAGTCCCCATCCCTATGAGCCGACTGAAATGATCCAATCCACCGCATTGGTTAGTCCCCATCCCTATGAGCCGACTGAAATGATCCAATCCACCGCATTGGTTAGTCCCCATCCCTATGAGCCGACTGAAATGATCCAATCCACCGCATTGGTTAGTCCCCATCCCTATGAGCCGACTGAAATGATCCAATCCACCGCATTGGTTAGTCCCCATCCCTATGAGCCGACTGAAATGATCCAATCCACCGCATTGGTTAGTCCCCATCCCTATGAGCCGACTGAAATGATCCAATCCACCGCATTGGTTAGTCCCCATCCCTATGAGCCGACTGAAATGATCCAATCCACCGCATTGGTTAGTCCCCATCCCTATGAGCCGACTGAAATGATCCAATCCACCGCATTGGTTAGTCCCCATCCCTATGAGCCGACTGAAATGATCCAATCCACCGCATTGGTAAGTCCCCATCCCTATGAGCCGACTGAAATGATCCAATCCACCGCATTGGTTAGTCCCCATCCCTATGAGCCGACTGAAATGATCCAATCCACCGCATTGGTTAGTCCCCATCCCTATGAGCCGACTGAAATGATCCAATCCACCGCATTGGTTAGTCCCCATCCCTATGAGCCGACTGAAATGATCCAATCCACCGCATTGGTTAGTCCCCATCCCTATGAGCCGACTGAAATGATCCAATCCACCGCATTGGTGAGTCCCCATCCCTATGAGCCGACTGAAATGATCCAATCCACCGCATTGGTTAGTCCCCATCCCTATGAGCCGACTGAAATGATCCAATCCACCGCATTGGTTAGTCCCCATCCCTATGAGCCGACTGAAATGATCCAATCCACCGCATTGGTTAGTCCCCATCCCTATGAGCCGACTGAAATGATCCAATCCACCGAATTGGTTAGTCCCCATCCCTATGAGCCGACTGAAATGATCCAATCCACCGCATTGGTTAGTCCCCATCCCTATGAGCCGACTGAAATGATCCAATCCACCGCATTGGTTAGTCCCCATCCCTATGAGCCGACTGAAATGATCCAATCCACCGCATTGGTTAGTCCCCATCCCTATGAGCCGACTGAAATGATCCAATCCACCGAATTGGTTAGTCCCCATCCCTATGAGCCGACTGAAATGATCCAATCCACCGCATTGGTTAGTCCCCATCCCTATGAGCCGACTGAAATGATCCAATCCACCGCATTGGTTAGTCCCCATCCCTATGAGCCGACTGAAATGATCCAATCCACCGCATTGGTTAGTCCCCATCCCTATGAGCCGACTGAAATGATCCAATCCACCGCATTGGTTAGTCCCCATCCCTATGAGCCGACTGAAATGATCCAATCCACCGCATTGGTTAGTCCCCATCCCTATGAGCCGACTGAAATGATCCAATCCACCGCATTGGTTAGTCCCCATCCCTATGAGCCGATTGAAATGATCCAATCCACCGCATTGGTTAGTCCCCATCCCTATGAGCCGACTGAAATGATCCAATCCACCGCATTGGTTAGTCCCCATCCCTATGAGCCGACTGAAATGATCCAATCCACCGCATTGGTAAGTCCCCATCCCTATGAGCCGACTGAAATGATCCAATCCACCGCATTGGTTAGTCCCCATCCCTATGAGCCGACTGAAATGATCCAATCCACCGCATTGGTTAGTCCCCATCCCTATGAGCCGACTGAAATGATCCAATCCACCGCATTGGTTAGTCCCCATCCCTATGAGCCGACTGAAATGATCCAATCCACCGCATTGGTTAGTCCCCATCCCTATGAGCCGACTGAAATGATCCAATCCACCGCATTGGTTAGTCCCCATCCCTATGAGCCGACTGAAATGATCCAATCCACCGCATTGGTTAGTCCCCATCCCTATGAGCCGACTGAAATGATCCAATCCACCGCATTGGTTAGTCCCCATCCCTATGAGCCGACTGAAATGATCCAATCCACCGCATTGGTTAGTCCCCATCCCTATGAGCCGACTGAAATGATCCAATCCACCGCATTGGTGAGTCCCCATCCCTATGAGCCGACTGAAATGATCCAATCCACCGCATTGGTTAGTCCCCATCCCTATGAGCCGACTGAAATGATCCAATCCACCGCATTGGTTAGTCCCCATCCCTATGAGCCGACTGAAATGATCCAATCCACCGCATTGGTTAGTCCCCATCCCTATGAGCCGACTGAAATGATCCAATCCACCGAATTGGTTAGTCCCCATCCCTATGAGCCGACTGAAATGATCCAATCCACCGCATTGGTTAGTCCCCATCCCTATGAGCCGACTGAAATGATCCAATCCACCGCATTGGTTAGTCCCCATCCCTATGAGCCGACTGAAATGATCCAATCCACCGCATTGGTTAGTCCCCATCCCTATGAGCCGACTGAAATGATCCAATCCACCGCATTGGTTAGTCCCCATCCCTATGAGCCGACTGAAATGATCCAATCCACCGCATTGGTTAGTCCCCATCCCTATGAGCCGACTGAAATGATCCAATCCACCGCATTGGTTAGTCCCCATCCCTATGAGCCGACTGAAATGATCCAATCCACCGCATTGGTTAGTCCCCATCCCTATGAGCCGACTGAAATGATCCAATCCACCGCATTGGTTAGTCCCCATCCCTATGAGCCGACTGAAATGATCCAATCCACCGCATTGGTAAGTCCCCATCCCTATGAGCCGACTGAAATGATCCAATCCACCGCATTGGTTAGTCCCCATCCCTATGAGCCGACTGAAATGATCCAATCCACCGCATTGGTTAGTCCCCATCCCTATGAGCCGACTGAAATGATCCAATCCACCGCATTGGTTCGTCCCCATCCCTATGAGCCGACTGAAATGATCCAATCCACCGCATTGGTTAGTCCCCATCCCTATGAGCCGACTGAAATGATCCAATCCACCGCATTGGTTAGTCCCCATCCCTATGAGCCGACTGAAATGATCCAATCCACCGCATTGGTTAGTCCCCATCCCTATGAGCCGACTGAAATGATCCAATCCACCGCATTGGTTAGTCCCCATCCCTATGAGCCGACTGAAATGATCCAATCCACCGCATTGGTAAGTCCCCATCCCTATGAGCCGACTGAAATGATCCAATCCACCGCATTGGTTAGTCCCCATCCCTATGAGCCGACTGAAATGATCCAATCCACCGCATTGGTTAGTCCCCATCCCTATGAGCCGACTGAAATGATCCAATCCACCGCATTGGTTAGTCCCCATCCCTATGAGCCGACTGAAATGATCCAATCCACCGCATTGGTTAGTCCCCATCCCTATGAGCCGACTGAAATGATCCAATCCACCGCATTGGTTAGTCCCCATCCCTATGAGCCGACTGAAATGATCCAATCCACCGCATTGGTTAGTCCCCATCCCTATGAGCCGACTGAAATGATCCAATCCACCGCATTGGTTAGTCCCCATCCCTATGAGCCGACTGAAATGATCCAATCCACCGCATTGGTTAGTCCCCATCCCTATGAGCCGACTGAAATGATCCAATCCACCGCATTGGTAAGTCCCCATCCCTATGAGCCGACTGAAATGATCCAATCCACCGCATTGGTTAGTCCCCATCCCTATGAGCCGACTGAAATGATCCAATCCACCGCATTGGTTAGTCCCCATCCCTATGAGCCGACTGAAATGATCCAATCCACCGCATTGGTTAGTCCCCATCCCTATGAGCCGACTGAAATGATCCAATCCACCGCATTGGTTAGTCCCCATCCCTATGAGCCGACTGAAATGATCCAATCCACCGCATTGGTTAGTCCCCATCCCTATGAGCCGACTGAAATGATCCAATCCACCGCATTGGTTAGTCCCCATCCCTATGAGTCGACTGAAATGATCCAATCCACCGCATTGGTTAGTCCCCATCCCTATGAGCCGACTGAAATGATCCAATCCACCGCATTGGTAAGTCCCCATCCCTATGAGCCGACTGAAATGATCCAATCCACCGCATTGGTTAGTCCCCATCCCTATGAGCCGACTGAAATTATCCAATCCACCGCATTGGTTAGTCCCCATCCCTATGAGCCGACTGAAATGATCCAATCCACCGCATTGGTTAGTCCCCATCCCTATGAGCCGACTGAAATGATCCAATCCACCGCATTGGTTAGTCCCCATCCCTATGAGCCGACTGAAATGATCCAATCCACCGCATTGGTTAGTCCCCATCCCTATGAGCCGACTGAAATGATCCAATCCACCGCATTGGTTAGTCCCCATCCCTATGAGCCGACTGAAATGATCCAATCCACCGCATTGGTTAGTCCCCATCTTCCCACTTCTCCCATTCCCCACTTCCCACCTCACACTGTTCTTCCAATCAGCCGCACCCTCAAAACCCTCAAGACCCTCAAGACTCACCGCGCTGGTGAGGCCGCCCTTGACGGTCCTGCTGGTGCCGGCGCGTTCATTCACAAACCGCACCAGCTCCACCACCCCCCTCTCCCCACTGTACTGCTCCCCCTCCCCATGTGCCCCGCTGCCGGCTGGGAACCACTTGAGCGTGGGGAAGCCTGATATGGCGAACCTGGTGCTGGGCGAGGTATGGTATGGAGTGATGAATGCACTGAGTGGTATAGGCTTTGGATGTGACTAGACTACCATACCAAACATACCACATGGTAATGTCAACGGGCTCTTTCAACGCACCTGACCTTGAGCTCCCAGTGCTCGTCAATTTCCACCTTGGAAGCTCGTGGCAAGAGCACTGAGTGAAAGCGTTAAAAAAGGGTTAACCATTTCCTAATAAGATGCCACAACATGCCACGCCTCGCACCTGTCCTTGAATTCCTCGTGCTGGTCAGCATCCACCTTGGAGGGTGTTGGCAAGGTCCGTAAGTCGAATCACCAAAAGCTGTTACTGATCTGGGTGGACACATTGAACCAGGATGGATATACCCTCTCTACAAGCCACGCCAAGCCTCGCACCTGTCCTTGAGCGCCTGATGCTGGTCAGCATCCACCTTGGCAAGCTCTCATCGACACATTTCCAACCAGGATAGCCCCTCTCCCTCCGCACCTGTCCTTGAGCTCCGTGTGCTGGTCTGCATCCACCTTGGCGATCACCACGCTGCTCTCCAGCCTGAATGCCTCCGCCACCTGCTCGTACACCTGCAGCGGCAGACAGACACCAGCAGTAAGACACGCAGGTAAGGGGCAACAGGGCAACATACAGGGGGTTACGGGGGGTTACGGGGGGTTACAGGGGGTTGCGGGGATTTGCATAGGAATGAAAGCCAAGGGTTGAGGTGACGCGTTGTTGCGCTGATGATTCCATAAGAGGTGGAACGAAAGGGAGACGCCTTACGAAGCAACTGCGAGAGAGTGGAAATGCTCACAGGCGCGAGCTGCTTGCAGTGGCCACACCACGGGGCGTGGAACTCCACAAGCACGTGCCTTGTGGGGTCACAGGGTAGTTTCCCTGACGATAAAAGGTGAGACTTAGCTAGCAGAAAGATGCGCGAAAAGCTGATTGTAGGGGCGAGGTGCTCACAGGCGCGAGCTGCTTGCAGTGGCCACACCACGGGGCGTGGAACTCCACAAGCACGTGCTTGGTGGGGTCCAGAGCGATGACATCAAACGTGGTTTCGTACTCCACTCAGAAAGTCCTTCACCCTACAGTCAAAGGTGAGTTCTACATGCAGGCACAATGCAGGGGTGCGGTTCTCACAGGGGCGAGCTGCTTGCAGTGGCCGCACCACGGTGCATAGAACTCCACGAGCACATGCTTGGTGGGGTCTAGAGCGATCGCATCGAAGGTGGCAGGTGTGAGGTCCACCACGTGAGACAGGGCCACAGGCACACGCACACTCGTGCCTGCATGGTTGGGGTGTGGTGATGAGGTGATGTGGGGATGAGAGAAAATGAGATAGTGCTTGTTGCGGTTCCGAAAAATGGCATAAAAAGGTGGCTGGAGTGAGGTCGACCAGGTGTGACCAGGTGTGACCAGGTGTGACCAGGGGTGACCAGGCGTGACCAGGCGTGACCAGGGGTGACCAGGGGTGACCAGGTGTGTCCAGGGGTGACCAGGGGTGACCAGGTGTGTCCAGGTGTGACCAGGTGTGACAAGGTGTGACCAGGTGTGACCAGGAGTGACCAGGAGTGACCAGGAGTGACCAGGAGTGTCCAGGTGTGACCAGGTGTGACCAGGTGTGACCAGGCGTGACCAGGCGTGACCAGGCGTGACCAGGGGTGACCAGGCGTGACCAGGCGTGACCAGGCGTGACCAGGGGTGACCAGGTGTGACCAGGAGTGACCAGGTGTGACCAGGAGTGACCAGGAGAGACCAGGCGAGACCAGGGGTGACCAGGAGTGACCAGGAGAGACCAGGCGAGACCAGGGGTGACCAGGCGCGACCAGGCGTGACCAGGTGTGACCAGGTGTGACCAGTAGTGACCAGGTGTGACCAGGTGTGACACGGTGTGACCAGGTGTGACACGGTATGACCAGGTGTGACACGGTATGACCATGTGTGACACGGTGTCAGACACACGCACATTCGTGCCTGCATGGAAAGAACGTGGATGTGGGGACTGGCAGGCCAGCTGGCAAACTTCTGAATCCGTCCCCACTCAACCCGGTGCCAAATCGGTAGGTGACAAACTCCCCTTCTCAACGCGACACTTTTTAGCATACACTAAATCCGCAAACACCCACCCAACTTCATTTCACCCACCCAGATGCTTATGATTCACGCACCCAGCTTCTCATTCACCCATGTCACCATGCTTGCAGCCTCCCTGCGCCCATCATAGCTGGAGGGAGTGAAAGGGAGAGATAGCGGGAGGGAGACGGGGAATAGAATCATATCAGGAGAGGAGGGTAAGAGCACTGGAGCATCCACGAGGCATCAGGTACCGTCACGTTTCGACCAAGAGCAATCCAGAGCAATCATGCGACCATGTCATGCAAACAAACACGTACCATGCAATCATGCAATCATGCAGGTGCACGTGCCAGTCAAGTCCAAGAGAAAAATCGAATTGTAACGTAATAAAGCGCAAACACCCAAACCCCCTCATAGCCTCCCCCAACCCCCGCAACCCACACACCAACCCCCCTCACTCCGCTCCTCCACGCACTCACTCGACTGGGATGTCAGTGCCAGCAGGAAACCACTTGAGAGTGGGGTACCCGCGCACCCTGTAGTCGCTGCACATCTCCTTGTACGCGTCACAGTCCACCTACGATAAGGGGCACATGGCTTGTGAGTCGATTTAAAAGGGCAGCACAGCACCCCGTAGTCGCTGCACATCTCCTTGTATGCATCGCAATCGACCTGCCGTGGAAGACATATCGCTTCTGAGTCTATGGGAGGCCTCTCAACTCGGAAAAGGGCCATTTGCGTAACATGTTCTCACTGCACATCTCCTTGCCATTCGTGCACATCTCCTAACGAACTCACCTTAGCGACGACCACCGACTTGGTTTTCTTGAAGGCTGTCGCGAGTTTCTCGTAATCCGGAGCGAGCTTCTTGCAATGGCCGCACCTGGCAGCACCAACCATGGGAGGAGACAAGTCACTCGGCAGATTAGAAAAATTAGCGCTGCAAGCGAGCCTGAAACGGAGACTGAATGGAAGGCTACAGGGAAGGTACGCAGGGAACCGAATGGAAGCAGTAAGTATACTGGGAGGATGTGTAACAGGAAGAGGTGTTTCGGAGTATAATTTGCCAAAGCGTCAATTCTTACCATGGCGCGTAGTATTTCACGAACACCGCCTTTTCCGTTCCCACGAAATCGCCAAAATTGTTAGGCGTCAGCTCGACGACGTCGGACAAGTCGTCGGCGATGCTGCGCGACGCAAGTGCTGCGAGGATCAGCGACAGCAGAACAACGCGACAAGCCATACCGCGGCTCGCCCCCCCTTGTGTCACTATTATGACGAATAACACACATTTAGCGCCTCGTTCGTTAGAGCAATCCAACTACCGCATTACAAGAGCTATCAGAAGCTCGTAGGTGGTCAGTAGAACAGGGATGGTGTGGGATGACGCAAAAACCTCTCCTGATAGAATGGGAAACGCTGCAAGTTCCCAAATTCAGATGAAGGCTGACATTCCCCGCTCATGCATTCCCTCCCAAGCCAATGCCAGCTGCAATGTCCATTGTCGAGGCTGGTAGCTTACAACGCGAATATAAACTGTACAAGTTTCACAAGCTGCACAAATTTCCTTACAAGGCGTTCAATCTCCTTTCCATGCAGCCATGGAGTGAAATTTAAACCATTTCTTCTCCAGAGTCCAAACGAAACATGTAAGGCACATTTGTCAATCCACCCATTAACCTTATTCAGCTTACATATAAAGCACTTGCAATTCATTATAACTCGTCATTGGGTGCTCCCTTTTTCCCCTTGCCAAGGTCCTTCCACAGCTTTTCATCATACTGCTTCCACATGTCATCATCGTAACCCTCTCCCTTGCGGTGATCCACATTCTGGGCGAGGTTCTCAAAGTCCTTGGCAGAAAACATCTGCGATGGGGGACGCACCCACACGTGAATAACAATGGGATGCAAGTAACACGAATGAATCAGAGATCATAGTAGGAACACGTGGCGCAGGCAGGACAGCATAACAGGAAGCAGGCAAGCGCTCATAGGAGGGAGGGGTGGGGGGAGGGGGGGGTTACTGGGGGGCGCGAGAGATGGAGAAGCTACGAAGCAGCACAAGAGGAGGAGAAACACGGGTACACATGAGTCATCTTCGAGAACCAAGAGATTCTCAAAGGTGACTCACAACAAGAATTAGAGAAGCTATTTGAGGATATGGGGAGTGAAGGAACACCACATGGGAAGCTTATTTACCTTAATCTTATCACCAAAGTTTCCAGAAGCCTTCAGTTTCTCTGCACAAGCACAGAAGGTGGGGAGACAACAAGAATGCGACACGGAAAAGGGTTGTGAGACTGTCATCACGTTTGGGTTGACTCAAAACGAAGGGACTTCTGAGTCGAGTTAAGAATGCGACATGGAAAGGAGTTGTGGGCCTGACATCACTTCTTTACGAAACCCCACGATACCGACCGCTAACCTTATAATTCGGGCCGCTGACCCAAAGAAAAACAAACACTAGGAAATCACCAAAACCGCTGACCCACCCAGAATCCTCTGGATGTCAGCATCCTTGGATGATGGATCGTCGCCAGAGGACGAATCAGACGAGGCAGCTTTCTTGGAAGCTTCCTTGGGCTGCCTCTGCTGCCTCTCCTCCTCTGTGAGCACCGGCAGGTGGATGGTCTCCCTGAGGCGACTCACCAGATGCTCCTTTTCCTGAATTAGGAAAGAGAGACAAGGGGAGTGAATAGAGGGGGGTGAGGCAAGAGAGAGGGATGGGGAGGGAGGAAAGGTTGATATGAGCATCGGCAGGTGGATGGTTTCCCTCAGGCGAATCACCAGGTGCTCCTTCTCCTGTTACAAGGACAGGGAGGCATATGGGGGATATGAGAGGGGATGAGGGACGGGAGAGCAAAGGTTGCTGAGGGATGGTCTCCCTGAGGTTACTCACCAGATGCTCCTTCTCCTGACGTACGGAAACAGGCAGAGATGCGGGGGTAAGAGAGTGCAAGCTGAGGGAAGAACGAGGGGCAGGGAGGAAAGGCAGTTAAAGAGAGGTAAAGATGGAGGGATGGGGAGACGAGAGTGGATGCAGGGGGAAGGGGGGAGAAGGTGGCATATGACTAGTCTGCTTAGCTAAGGAAACTGCTGAGGAAACCAAGAGTGGGCAATGAGAAAACAGATTGTGCGAGGGGTGGGTGTGAGGAGAGGAGACGTACTATGCAGCCTTGGCACTCCACCCCTCGCTCCTCCAGCATCCTCTGCCACACACCAGACACACACACGCAAAACACACGCCGCACACAAGCCGCACACAAGCCGCACACAAGCCACACACAAGCATCACCCACACACATTGGCAGAGCGGAGGGCCAACAACAGATTGACAAGAACGTTCTCGAGATGCGAGACAAGGAAAGGGCCTCATGAACGAGCAGCAGAAGGCATCCGACTGGCGTTCCAGCTGCTGGAAGATTGCGCATGCCGGCAACGATTTCCCTGTCAGCATGCAGCATGCAGCATACCCTGCCTACATCCGCAATTCAGACAACAGACAACACCGCACATGCCACTGCAATTCACCTATCACCACCCTCTCTTTCCGAAAGGTTTCAGACAGCACCCTCTGGGTACCCTGCACCTCTATCCGCACGCCTAAATCTGACACGAAGCTTTGGGACGAAAATTGAGGGTATTTTAGGTAGTTGTAGTGTAGCTGACAACGTTCGCTCACCTTGAGCTCCTTGACTCTCAGCTTCGTCGGATCCACGTCAGCACTGCCGCCTGATGCTGATTGCTCATCGGCTTTCAGGGGAATGGGAAGGGGCACGCGAGAGTGAAAAGACAAGGACGACTGAGAATTCTCAAAAGCATACTCAATAAGAAAGGCACAAAGTAGGCCATAATGGGGTAAGTGCGGAGATCGGCTACGGGGCCATAATTTCAAAAGTCTATGATTGAGTCGACAGCTGCGAAACATTCAAAAGATTATGTGACGTGCTACCTAGGAAACAAAACATTCAATTGCTATAGAGCGAAACTTACCTGCAGCGAACGGCAAGATGACGAGAAGAGCGATCAGCGAAACGAGAGTGACGCGTCGCATGGAGACGTCGAGCGACATGGCGAACGCCGAAAAAGGATGAGTGAACAACAAATCCTCGTCGAAATTGGATTGGTCGAATTAGGAAGACTCTACGTGACTGGAGGATAGGAAAGGGATGAAGAGAGTGAAGGAAGACGAGCAAAGGCCCTGGCCTGAGACGAATCGGAAATTGAACAATCTGGATTCGGGAATGTTCTGGACCGTCGAGTTTGCATCACCAAGCTGTTGCGGAATTTCCGCCAATCGGAGGACATGTTGGAAAGGCAAAAGGTTGCGGTGAGCGTGGATCGAACACACGACCTTCAGATCTTCAGTCTGACGCTCTCCCAACTGAGCTATCCCCGCACGTCTACTGTGGCTTCGTGTATTTTCATATTATATAACTTTTACTACGGTACTCTGCTCACGCACGAGTAGTCGTCATGGCTCCTTACACGAAGCCTTTAGAACCGTCAATCGCGGCGCAGGTTGCGGTACTCTGCAGTTTTCCCAAAGTCGGCTTTCAGGTAGGATGCGACGCGATACGCATAGGATTTTACCACCTTCTCCCCGCGTCTCCTGCCCACTCTCTCTCCCTATCAACCTCAGCCTGTCACTACTGTTGCGCCCTCTTCGCACACACCCGCGCTTCCTAACATTTGTGTTCCCGATTTCCTTGTGTTCCAGGTTCGGGACGTGCGGTGCGGGTGGGAGGATGCGGAATTCGCGGACCGGTTCACGGTGCACGTGCCGTGCGGTTGGGACAAGCTAGAATGTACGGTCACGATTCACCGCCCATACGCACGCTGCATGCAGCACCGCCCATAACCCCCTCGATTCCGACGAGTCAAACGTGGTCGTTATAACTCACGCCCTCCATCCTTCCTTCCCACCCCTCCCGTCCCTCCGTCTCTCCCTTCACCCCCAACTTCCAATTCCCTATCCTCAATCCCCCCATCCCCTCATCCCCCCCGCGCGGCAATCCCAGGGTACGTGCAGTTCAACGGCAGTCGGCCGTGGGACCCACCTGACGTCATCTTCCACTCCTCGCCTGATGGCCTCTGCTTCCAGCCTCTGCTGCTCCCAGGTGAAGCTTCAGGTGCTCCCGGGTGAGTCCTCTCAGGTGAATCCTCCTGTAGTTTCAGAAGGATTCACCTCTGCTCCGAGGAGGAGAATATTCAGCAGTTTCAGTTGAATCACCCAGTGCTCTCAGGTGAATCCTCTGTTGCTCCCAGGTGAGTCCTACGCTGCTCTCAGGTACATCTTCTGTTGCTTTCAGGTCAGCCTTCTGCTGTTCCCACCTGCATCCGCCGGTGCTTCCAGGAAAATTCTCCTTTTTCTTTGGGGTGGATTCTATGCTGTTCCCAGGTGAATCTTACTGTCTCTCTCAGGTGAACATTTTGCCTCCCTTGGAACCTCAGGTGAATCCTCTGCTGTTTCCAGGAGAATATGCATGACAGGCAGCACAACGACTCCGACCGCCTGCTGTGCCTTCAAGTTACCACTTTGGACCCATCTCAACCCATCTCACACCTCTCGTGTGGGGGGTGCAGGAGGCATGGCTGGTGAGGGCAGCAGCTGGGGCCTGTTAAAGGACTGGCAGCACAACGACTCCTACCGCCTGCTTCACTTCAAGTTACCGTTTTGAACCCATCTCAACCCAAGTCGCACCTCTCATGTGTGTGCGGTGCAACCATGCAGGTGACATGGCTGGTGAGGGCAGCAGCTGGGGGCTGCTCAAGGACTGGCAGCACAACGACTCACACCACCTGCTGCGCCTTCAAGTTATACTCTAATCGAACCCATCTCAACCCATCGTAACCCATGACGCACATGCGGGATGCAGGTGGCATGGGAGGCAGTGAGAGCAGCAGCTGGGGGCTGCTCAAGGACTGGCAGCACAACGACTCCTACCGCCTGCTGCGCCTCCTGCTGCACCTCAGGTGAATGTTCGCTTTCATGTTGCACCTCGAGTTACCGCTTTGAATTCTTCTGATTCCATCCGAACCCATTTGAACCTTGCTGAACCCATCTGAATGGGTTCAACCCATGTTGCAATTCTCGTAAAAAAATACCCTCTTATTTCATCTCCGGTGTCCTTATCCTAACCCAACTTTCGTCCCTCCGCTCACACTACCTCCCATACCATCCTCCCTCCCATTCCCCCCGTACTTCCACCACGCAGGGCGTTGTTCCTGCAGCAGCAGCGGCAGCAGGCGGAGGCAATGGAGGATGGGCGGGTGAAGTTCGAGCTCAGCACGCTGGCACAGCAGGTGAGAGCATATGGGGCAGTCAGGAGGGCAGGAGGACGGGCAGGCAGGGGGTCGGTTGCTGGGTTGCTGGGTTGCTGGGTTGTCGTGACTCGGGAGGATGGGCGGGTCAAGTTCGAGCTCAGCACGCTGGCGCAGCAGGTGGGGAAGGAGGGGAGGCAGGCGGTCAGGTAGTGGGTAGTGGTAACGCTGGTGGAATGAAGGTAGCGTTGGTGCAACAGGGGATTGAAGAAGGCACAGTCCATTATACAAAGGGAATGAAGTGGGATCATGGGAGGAGTCAAATGTTTTGATGAAGACAGGATAAAAGTTCATATACGGTACTCCTTTTTGTAACCCCTCTCCTGTAAATTCCGCTTATCTCTATTTCTCTCCTCTCATCTCTCTCCACTGCAGGGCGAGGGCTAATTTCAAGGCGCCTCAAAAATGGTTTCCTATTTTCTCTCCCTTTTCCTCTCCCTGCTTGTCCATCAGGAGTTTGAGGTCTATGCTCCTCTTACTGCAGGCAAGGTCCGTTTATGACTCCTTACCCAACATGCAGTTCCCCATTACCCATTTCTATGCATTCTATCCACTTACCATACGCCAAGCTCTGTGTAGTAACGTCAGGAACCATGCTCGACTCCACCCGCCCCATTGCACGGGCCCTTCACTTTTTTCTCCTTACACTTTCACACATGTTTTACCTCTCCTACAGTCGTCTCCAGAGGAGCTGCAGCTCGCAGTGCCGGTGCTGGGAATCGATCTCCGCCCTCTCACTCACTTCAGGTGCGCCCCCACCTAGACCATCATCCCTTGTGTTCGTGCCTTTGCAATGCTTTCTTGTGAATATCCCCAACATATTGCAAGTGCATGCTTTCACCCACTCCCCATGCATCAGGTGGTGGTCGGATTGGCTCAGGCGCTCTGGCAGCGACCTTTACTTAAGCCCCCCTCCCTTCCATCCCTCCTTTCCTCCCCATCTCAATCCCCTCCTTTCCTCCTCATCTCAATCCCCTCCTTTCCTCCTCATCTCAATCCCCTCCTTTCCTCCTCATCTCAATCCCCTCCTTTCCTCCTCATCTCAATCCCCTCCTTTCCTCCTCATCTCAATCCCCTCCTTTCCTCCTCATCTCAATCCCCTCCTTTCCTCCTCATCTCAATCCCCTCCTTTCCTCCTCATCTCAATCCCCTCCTTTCCTCCTCATCTCAATCCCCTCCTTTCCTCCTCATCTCAATCCCCTCCTTTCCTCCTCATCTCAATCCCCTCCTTTCCTCCTCATCTCAATCCCCTCCTTTCCTCCTCATCTCAATCCCCTCCTTTCCTCCTCATCTCAATCCCCTCCTTTCCTCCTCATCTCAATCCCCTCCTTTCCTCCTCATCTCAATCCCCTCCTTTCCTCCTCATCTCAATCCCCTCCTTTCCTCCTCATCTCAATCCCCTCCTTTCCTCCTCATCTCAATCCCCTCCTTTCCTCCTCATCTCAATCCCCTCCTTTCCTCCTCATCTCAATCCCCTCCTTTCCTCCTCATCTCAATCCCCTCCTTTCCTCCTCATCTCAATCCCCTCCTTTCCTCCTCATCTCAATCCCCTCCTTTCCTTCTCATCTCAATCCCCTCCTTTCCTCCTCATCTCAATCCCCTCCTTCCCCGCTCCTCCCTCCCCTCCCCATGCATCAGGTGGTGGTCTGATTGGCTCAAGCGCTGTGGCAGCGACCTTCACCTCAGACTGCTGGTAGGTGTTTTGAGCGGTTCAGGGGGGTGTTGATGGGTGCTGGGGGGTGCTGATGGGTGCTGGGGGTTGCTTGGGAAACCTTCACCACAGGCTGCTGATGGGTGGGGGATGCTGGAGAGCGCTTGCGGGTACTCGGGTTGAGAATAATGGGTGGTGAATGGTGGGTGGTGTGACAGATGGTGTGTGGCTGCATCACCTTCCCACTCAGCACCCTCACACTCCGCCACCTGCTCTGCGCTGCCTGCACGCCCACCCATCTCTTTCTCCTGCACTCCCCTCACTCACAAATAAACCTTCCCCTCTGTTTCTCCTGCATTCCCCTCACTCACAAATAAACCTTCCCCTCTGTTTCTCCTGCATCACGCGAACAGATCAAGTTCCCCATCTCGGGAAGCAGCAGCAGCGCCAATGGCAAGGCTTCTACACCTCAGGTGAGTGAGTGGGCGAGTGAGTTAAGGGTTGAAGTGACATTCTTTCTTACATGCATTACCGCCACTGCCCTCCTCTCTCCTCATCAGCAGCACCAATGGCAAGGCTTCCAAACCTCAGGTGAGTGAGGAGACGATTTTTGAGTCGGCTCAAAAACCATCTCGGGAAGCAGCAGCACCACCACTGGCAAGGCTTGCACACCTCAGGTGAGGGACTGCGTGATTTGATTGAGTGAGTAAGGGGTGAATGCGGGAGTTGATTTATGAAAGCATGGTGACATCCTGTCTTACATTTCCTACATGCCTCCTCCTAGCCCATTGCCTCCTCTCTCCTCTTCCTCTCGTTCCTCTATCCCTTTCAACGACTCTGTCCCTTTCTCTCCCTCTTCCACAGTTGAACCTAGGAGCCCCCCCTCTCCTCCTCTCCCTCATTGGCTTCCCAGAAACAAAGTGATCTTTTGGGTCGACTCAAAACACTCCCTTCCCCAAACGTCTGTCTTTTTCTTCCTCTTCCACAGTTGAAGCTCGGAGGCCCGCCACTCCTCCTCTCCCTCCTCGGCTTCCCAGAGACCAAGCTGCCTGCCTGGACCGACTCCATGTGAGTGAGAGGCTGTCAATCGCTATTGCAATTTCAATGAGGTAATTTAGAAGTCAATGAGAAAATCACCTTCTAGGCTTCCTAGAAACCAAGCTGCCTGCCTGGACCGACACCATGTGAGAAGTGTGGCTCTTTCGCGGGGGCTTTGTTTTGGTTTCCACACATTCATTGGGTTGTTGTTTTGTGTGGGCATGGAAATGGGCTTCAGTGTTGCGCATGTGTGGCATGCCCTGTGCCAGTGTTCGCTGCGTTGCTCTGCTCAAACATGCTCGGCTTCTGTCTTTTTCCAGCTCTGTTCAAATGTGACCGCACATCATCGCACCACACCGCATTGCACACCTTCCCGCAGGTGCACAGTTGCGTATCTGCCTGAGCTTGCTGCATTCATCCATCAGCGAGTGAGTCACACCGCACTCCACCTCCCGTCGCTCTTTTCTCACTTTCCAGCAAAGGCTGTTCGAATGTGCAAGGCTGGATAAAAGTGCTGCTTATATATTTCAGTACAACAGTATCCACTTATCCGTACTTACCCATTGGAAAGTCAACAATTAACACAACTGCAAAGAAATGTGCGGTGAGCGTGGATCGAACACGCGACCTTCAGATCTTCAGTCTGACGCTCTCCCAACTGAGCTATCCCCGCATGTGTGTTGATAAACCTTCTAATCTTCCGATATATTTTTTAACTGTCTCTCTCTTCGCCACGTCAGCTTGATAGTGCTGTCTCTTCCATGCAAAGCCGCGCGGACTTCATTTCTTCTGTGCCCGCGGTATTCGGGCAGCCTTTAGAGTCTGACACAGTAAGTTCCTCTCTTTCTGTAAATACGAACAGTCCTTCACCACTGCTCTGCTCCCACATTCCCCTTCCCCTCGATCACTCTACTCAATCATTCCCCTTATTCACCTTCTCTCCATCCACCCATTTCGTATAAATCCCCTCATCTCATCTGTTCATCCCGGCAGCAACTATTCTCTCACACCACGCTCTTTGTGACGGCCAACAGCTGCATGTGCCTGGTGCGTGCTGCCCCACACCACCTGCATCCCTTACCCCTGCATCTGCCTGTCACCTGCTAGTCCCGATGCACGTATTGCCCCACCCACCCATTCTCCTGAACAACACTCTTTGTGTCAGCCAACAACTGCATGTGCCTGGTGCGTGCTGCACCCACTTCTTGCATGTGCCTGCCGCGTGCCCCTCCCACCACCTGCATGTGCCTGCCACGTGCCCCTCACACTCCCTGCATGTGATTGCCACGTGCTACTCTCAATGCATTGCTTGTCCCAACCATGCTCTCTCACGCTCCCTGCTGGGCTAAAAAAGCTCCGGGTTGCCAGCAGCACCGTCTTGTGTGCCATGGTATCCTCTTACAGTCTTGCCCCTCCACCCCAATCACCTCCCCCTCCACCCCAATCACCTCCCCCTCCACCCCAATCACCTCCCCCTCCACCCCAATCACCTCCCCCTCCACCCCAATCACCTCCCCTTCCACCCCAATCACCTCCCCCTCCACCCCAATCACCTCCCCCTCCACCCCAATCACCTCCCCCTCCACCCCAATCACCTCCCCCTCCACCCCAATCACCTCCCCCTCCACCCCAATCACCTCCCCTTCCACCCCAATCACCTCCCCCTCCACCCCAATCACCTCCCCCTCCACCCCAATCACCTCCCCCTCCACCCCAATCACCTCCCCCTCCACCCCAATCACCTCCCCCTCCACCCCAATCACCTCCCCTTCCACCCCAATCACCTCCCCCTCCACCCCAATCACCTCCCCCTCCACCCCAATCACCTCCCCCTCCACCCCAATCACCTCCCCCTCCACCCCAATCACCTCCCCCTCCACCCCAATCACCTCCCCCTCCACCCCAATCACCTCCCCTTCCACCCCAATCACCTCCCCCTCCACCCCAATCACCTCCCCCTCCACCCCAATCACCTCCCCCTCCACCCCAATCACCTCCCCCTCCACCCCAATCACCTCCCCCTCCACCCCAATCACCTCCCCCTCCACCCCAATCACCTCCCCTTCCACCCAATCACCTCCCCCTCCACCCCAATCACCTCCCCCTCCACCCCAATCACCTCCCCCTCCACCCCAATCACCTCCCCCTCCACCCCAATCACCTCCCCCTCCACCCCAATCACCTCCCCCTCCACCCCAATCACCTCCCCTTCCACCCCAATCACCTCCCCCTCCACCCCAATCACCTCCCCCTCCACCCCAATCACCTCCCCCTCCACCCCAATCACCTCCCCCTCCACCCCAATCACCTCCCCCTCCACCCCAATCACCTCCCCCTCCACCCCAATCACCTCCCCCTCCACCCCAATCACCTCCCCCTCCACCCCAATCACCTCCCCCTCCACCCCAATCACCTCCCCCTCCACCCCAATCACCTCCCCCTCCACCCCAATCACCTCCCCCTCCACCCCAATCACCTCCCCCTCCACCCCAATCACCTCCCCCTCCACCCCAATCACCTCCCCCTCCACCCCAATCACCTCCCCCTCCACCCCAATCACCTCCCCCTCCACCCCAATCACCTCCCCCTCCACCCCAATCACCTCCCCCTCCACCCCAATCACCTCCCCCTCCACCCCAATCACCTCCCCCTCCACCCCAATCACCTCCCCCTCCACCCCAATCACCTCCCCCTCCACCCCAATCACCTCCCCCTCCACCCCAATCACCTCCCCCTCCACCCCAATCACCTCCCCCTCCACCCCAATCACCTCCCCCTCCACCCCAATCACCTCCCCCTCCACCCCAATCACCTCCCCTTCCACCCCAATCACCTCCCCCTCCACCCCAATCACCTCCCCCTCCACCCCAATCACCTCCCCCTCCACCCCAATCACCTCCCCCTCCACCCCAATCACCTCCCCCTCCACCCCAATCACCTCCCCCTCCACCCCAATCACCTCCCCCTCCACCCCAATCACCTCCCCCTCCACCCCAATCACCTCCCCCTCCACCCCAATCACCTCCCCCTCCTCACACACTTTTTCCGTCCCTCTATCTCTCCCCAATCCCTCTAGCCTCATTTCTCACGCCTCGTCCTTCTCACCCCTCCTCTCTCTCACCTCAGGTGCGCATTTCTCTGCCTCAATCCTTCCCACAGCAGCAGCCCTCCATCACCCTGCAATCCATTCATGTAAGCACAATGTTATGTTTGTGTCATAATATTCCATCGCAATGCCCCATCTCAATGCTCCCCCATCCCAATGCCCCATCTCAATGCCCCCCATCTCAATGCCCCCCATCTCAATGCCCCCCATCCCAATGCCCCCCATCCCAATGCCCCCCATCCCAATGCCCCCCATCCCAATGCCCCCCATCCCAATGCCCTATCCTTGTTCCCCCATCCCATTGGCTTATCCTCGTTCCCCAATCCCAACGCCGCTGTCTCATACTCCCCCAAACCACACCTTACAGCACTTCACCGCACACAACCGCCCCGTGTCGTCGGAGCCAATCAGCAGCTTTCCTTGGAGCCCCCGCTGGTCTCCTGCTCAGATGGCGCAGCGCCTCAGGTGAGTGGAGGGAAAGGGTGTGTTTGATGGGTGCGTGCTGCTGGGTGCTTTGATGGGCATTTGGTGGGTGCTTGGTGTCGATTGCATTTCTCGGCGCTCGCTGTGCCTCTTTGGGATAGAATTATGCACCCAAAGTGCATCCTCGCTCTCTCCCTCTCTGCGTGCCCCTTCTGACCTGAAGCTCATTCCTGGAAGATGAAACTGTCGCTTTCAAGCGCTTCTGTATTGACGTCTCCAGAGCTGCTGCTTCAGCGAGAACTTGAGATGATTATTTGGAAACCATAAATAAAGAACATTACTGTATATGGTTTTTTTAGAGCATGACAGCGTTGACTTATAACGATTGTGAGTGCACAATGGGCTATGAACGTGGGTTGATATCAGTTTGCTGTTTGAAAAGGTACAAAGATCTACGCAAGAGCCAACCACGCCTTTCCAAAACAGCCCAACGCAACCATATCAGATTAATACTTTGGCGAGTACAGCTGCGGCGCCTCCTGTGTGGAAACAGGCGCGGTGACATTGCCGTACTCATGGATGCGGTTGAAGCGCCAGTAGTTGTCCGGCAGGTCTCCCCCGGGGAACCACTCCCCCAGCTCCGCGAATTTCTGTGCCACTTCCGACACGGCAAAGTAGTTGATGGGGAACTGGTCGCTTGTAAGCACACCCTCCGTCTGCCTGGGAATGCGCTTGTACTGCATTTAAGAGGGAAGCATGTAAGGGGTATGGATAAGGGAGAAACTGATGAGGGGAGAGAGGCTGGAAATAGTTGATGGTCGCTCGCCAGCACCCCCCTTCCGTCTGCCTCGGGATGCGCTTGTACTGCCAATAGAGGGAGTGCAGATAAATGGAAAGGCAGAGAACGGGGAAGAGGCATGAAGTCGTTGACCGGGAACTAGTTGCTCGTTACCACTTCCCCCGTCTGCTTGGGAATGCACTTGTTTGTGCTGCAGAAGGAGACCTTTGAGTCGACTCAAAAGTCACCTTGAGTCAACTCAAAACCCCCCCGTCTGCCCGGGAATGCGCTTGTGCTGCAGTAGTTCGTTAACATGCCCTCCCTCTGCCTAGGGATGCGCTTGTGTTGATGTGAGAGAGAAGGGGGAGAAAAATTGTGGGGTTAGAAGTGGCTGTGGGGAAATATAAGCTGGATCGCAGCGAGTCTGCTAGTGCTGGATTGATTAGCTGGATGGGAAAATTCCTCCATCTGCATTAGGGGTCTGCTAGTGTTGCAGTGAGAGCAAGGGGAGGTGAGGAAGAGGGGTGATGGGGTAATGCAGAGCAGAGACAAGGCAAGAGCGGCGGCAGCATGAATGCAAAGGTCCTCGATCACAGCTTCTTCAGGCAGGTTTACTGACTCTACACACACCCTCTCTTCCCATCACCAATATCACCAATCTATAGAACTTGACAGGGACTCACCAAGAGGAACGCAATGATCCGGGCAATGACAGCATCTTCAGGCAGGTTCACGGCCTCCGAGTACACCCTCCCCAGCACGATGCGGTGGCGCGTCTCCTTGTCATCCTTGGTGACGTAGACATCATACATCCACCCACCGTTGATCAAACTCTATCCAAACGCTTCAAGTTCCAAGCAACGAGAACAAAGCCCCCACCAGCAGCACCAGGGACTCACTAGGAGGAACGCAATGATCCTGGCAATGACCGCATCCTCAGGCAGGTTGACGGCCTCGGAGTACACCCTCCCCAGCACGATGCGGTGGCGCGTCTCCTTGTCATCCTTGGTGACGTAGAGGTCGTACATCCACCCGCCGTTGGTCTTGATCTTGGCGTCCATGGTCAGGTCGAACTCGATCACCTCCCCCGAGGGCGCTGTCTCGCTGATGTGCACCACGCGCGCTGCTGACGCCTCCTGCTCCGCTGCTGCCGCCGCCAGCTCCTCTGCTGACTGCGACTTGGACTGGCAGGGGCGGGAAAGAAGGGGGGGAGGGATTGGTGGAACGGGAAGGGGCAGGGGGAATGGGGTGCACGAAGAGGTAAAACATTGACAAGGACTGGAAATTGTGTGGATGGGAGACTGGCAGGGGATGGATTGCAAGCGAGATTGGGGCCGTTGCATGCAGCAGGTTACGTCCCAGGCCAATGGCAGCTGCGATGCTGCAGTTAACCCTCGGTCACCCAAGAGTCAGGACACGAGTGTGGGCGAGTGAGAGTTCTGAGTGATGGCGTGGGTGAAAAGTTGAGGGTGTGAGTGAGAGTGTGAATGAGTGTAAATGTGCGTGGGTGCGGGCGAGTGTGAGTGATTGTGAGAGTGAATGAGTGCGAGCGAGGAGGCATACCGGCAGCACGTCGCACTTGCCCTCCTCAATGAGCTTCGGGTCATACTCCATCTGCACAGCAACGGACAGAACGGACAAGGGCACGCAATGCAACCAATGTCAATGAAACAGTAAACCAGCAATTCATGAGCAGGGAACCAACAGTAGAGCGAGCATTGAAGAGTAGTCAACGAAGGGGGGGCGCGCAGCCAGTAAACCTCCCTCCCGGTTTGTTGTTATTTCTCCCTGCCGGTCTGTGGTGATGATTCCATTAGCCTGGCACGCGAAGGGTTGGTCGACTTCTTTTCTTACCCATCTTCTTTGCAGGATATGCCACCCTTTTCGCACCAGAGAGAGGATCCATACTTCAGCCGAACCCTCGTGCTTCTGAAACGTCTAACGCCCTTCTGCTGCAATCACAATTGCTCCTTACCCCTCGCGAAATCAAGCGCGAATCCAGCATCCAGCACACTCAGTCGCACACGCACCGCAGCACCCTAAGACCACTCGCTCCATGCCCTCGTTGCTGGCACATTACTAATTTCTACTAGTACCCTCGTTAAAGTCGCATTCGATCCCAATCATCTCCTCGAGGCCGCGGTCCACCATCATCTGCAGCAGCGCCTTCGCCTTGGACTGCGCTGCCGCAACCTTGCCTCACGTACCACCCCATCATTATAATCACACCCACATCTCAGACAAACATCCTCATTATAGTCACATTCAACTGACCTCCTCCTTGAGGCCGCGGTCCACCATCATCTGCAGCTGCACAGCCGCCATCCCACGCCTAACACCCTTTCATAATGATCACACCCACAGCTCAGCACCCTCATTACAGTCACAATAAACTCACCTCCTCCTTGAGGCCGCGGTCCACCATCATCTGCAGCAGCGTCTTCGCCTTGGACTGCGCCGCCGCCACCTTGCCTCTCTCCGAGATCGACCCAGCGTCCGCAGGCCGCTCCCAGTACCCCCTCTGCACGGGATCCGTGTTGCCGACGGGCGGAATTCCCATCTCCGAGAACCACTGTAGCATGTGGAAAAGGTGAGAAGATAATAGGAAATACGGCAGAGTACAATATAGGGAATAGTTTTTGCGTGCTTGCGCTCTGTCCTCTTCAGAATTGAACGGCGACTGCCGGCCGCTCCCAGTACCCCCTCTGCACGGGATCCGTGTTGCCGGTCGGCGGAATTCCCATCTCCGATAACCACTTCAGCACGCGGAATCCCCAACGCCTATGTTTCTAACATGCAAACGGAAATCTGATTGCGGGAGATTCTTTGGGATTAATATAAAGCTGAGATTTTGGGTGACTCGTGGAGAAAATATAGCTGCACAAGCTAGAGAATTTCACATTTCTCACAGCAGGACGGACGGCAGACCTGGCCGCCGTATAAAACTACACAGTCCCACGACCCGTTATGAGAATCCGCGCTAATCGTACCTGCGCGCGAATGTCAATCATCTGCTGCTGGTCCATGGTCGACAGGTTGTGCAGCTTGTAGTAGTAGCAGAACTCGGAACGACACAACCCACTATAAGCATCCTCATCATCCGTACCTGCGCGCGGATGTCAATCATCTGCTGCTGGTCCATGGTCGACAGGTTGTACAGCTTGTAGTAGTAGCAGAACTCGGAACGACACAACCCACTATAAGCATCCTCATCATCCGTACCTGCGCGCGGATGTCAATCATCTGCTGCTGGTCCATGGTCGACAGGTTGTACAGCTTGTAGTAGTAGCAGAACTCGGAACGACACAACCCACTATAAGCATCCTCATCATCCGTACCTGCGCGCGGATGTCAATCATCTGCTGCTGGTCCATGGTCGACAGGTTGTACAGCTTGTAGTAGTAGCAGAACTCGGGGCGCCGTCCCATGAGCGTTCGCAGCGAGTTGCGCACGTCCTTGGAGAACCCGATATACTGCACCTTCTTGTTCTTATCGAGTACAGCGAACACGGACGCCGTGGTTCCCGGCTCGACGGGAGGGACTATACGACCCTGCTGGTTGATGTAACTCAGTAGCGGGAGTTCGTTCAGCGACGGGAGTTTCGCGGAACCGCCGGCCGCGACGACCACGGCGCGAGTTGCGGAGCGGGAATTGCGGCTGGATTGGCTCTTAGCGAGTGTGATTCTAACGCCTTGGAAGGCGGAAGATGCGGATTTTGAGACAAAATCTGATCCGAGATGGACGCGAGGGGACGCCACGTGGCAGGTCGCGGTGGGCCTGGACGAGGCATTGCGTGCTGACGAGGCAATTTGAGAGACTGAGCTGGCAGCAACTGCTGCTCGTTGAGCGACGGACGCCATGGTTACAGCGGCGAAGCTACAGCGAAAACAGTCAAGCAAACGTCCTGATAAGCAGGCAAAAAGCCACAAGGAATGTGGCTGCTTCGCGTTGCTGTTGCACGCAAAACGTTCCCGTTTGTAGAGTATGAAGCAAGTGAAATGGAAAGCAATGACACTGGGTGCCAGAAATAAGGTTCCTTGGGAACGTGGACGAAGCTGTTCACTAGCTCTCCCCTAGCCTTGTCCTGCCATGTCTCCCTTCGCTTCTTCCCTGCTCGTGCTGTTATCCTCTCAGCTCGGCTCGCGGCGAATACGACGCCCTGGGCTGGGGAGCTGCACCTTGGGATTGGTAACGCAATCACGGTTTGCTGATGTGGACGCCCCGAAAAAATGGTCAGAGGCTGATGTGGCAGGGAATGAAATTTCGAGATAGCATACACCCGAGAATCAACACTTAGTTGAAACACGAGTTAACCTTCTCTAAATTATTTTTTTTAGGAAAATCTATACCGTACTCACAATATGGAGAAACATGTATGGGTTTAGTTACGAAACATGTAGCTAACTTCAGAACCGTGCACTGTGGACTCCTAAATACGCCTACAAATGCAAGGGCGGCTTATCTAGTTCATAACAAGCTATTACCAACCTAAAACCTTTTAGCCAGTGGGTGGGCAGTGGACATAGAGCAAACCAGAGGTTAGTGTGTGTCAGCATGGTACCATGTCATGATGTGACAACCCAGCATGGTACCATGTCATGATGTGACAACCCGGCCGGAGCGACATCAGAGGGCGGCTTGCATGAGGGGATCCTGTGCTGTGATGCTGATGTCACCATACGGCTCTGTCTGCTGCACTTGAATGAAGTCCCTCGTCTTCAGCACCTGGTGAATCAGGGTTTCGCACAGGGTTTACGGCGGTACAGAGTTAAGTGAGAGAGTTCAGGCTAAATAAGTCACCATTTGGGATGGAGGGTTCAGGGTAAGTGAGAGAGCAGAGAACGGGCACTGAACAGGTGGATCTTAGAAACGTGCCTATAATGAAATCATATCAGCTTGTGCAAGAGCCCGCTCCCCTACGCCATGCACTCACGAGGGTCTCAAAGAACATCCGAGCAGCCTCTCGTCTTGGCCGTCCCTTCACCACCGCCAGCAGCGACACCGACGGCTGCGATCGCGCCGACTCCACCCCCACCGATTCCTCTGTCCCCACTGCTGCTGCTGCTGCTGCTCCCCCCCTTCCATTGCCCGCCAGTGCCTGCTGCTCCGCCAGAGCTGTCAACGAATGCTGCAGAAACTTGGCAGCACCTCTGGGGTGGATGCGGGGGAAGGGAGGGTATGGGAAGGGAGAGGTTAGCAGGGAGGGAAGAAATGTCAGGGAGGGGCATGGTAGCAAATGTCCCCACTTCCCTGTGAAAGGATCATCTGTCAGATCCGTTCACATCCCAACCCCACCATCCCTTCACCCCAAACTCAGAATTTCCTGAAAGGGCAACACCCGAAAACTCAACGGAGTCAACGGGGAAAAAATAGCTTCGGAAAGGCAGGCAATTGTAGGTTCGGAAAACTTCCGAAACCCTTTTGCCCTGAACCCAGCAGAAGCGAGACGCAAACTGGAGCCAGTTTGTGAAGGCTTTTCTGTAATTCGGGAGCTGGGCTTTAAACCCCCAACCCCCTTCCTAAGCCTCCCAACAACCACTCACTTCCACCCTTCCCCACCGCTGCCCACCTGGTGCGCCAGCTCCAGCTGGAGAAGTCATCAGTGGGCCCCTTCCTGGCAAAGTCATACACAATCAGTATCCGACCCCCCTCACTTCTCACTGTCCCCTCTCCCCCCCACCCACCCCATCCCTCTCCACCCTTCCCCACCGCTGCCCACCTGGTGCGCCAGCTCCAGCTGGAGAAGTCATCTGTGGGCCCCTCTGCTGCTGCTGCCTTGCGCTTGCCTGATCCCATCGGGTCCCACTCGTCCACCTCTGCAGATGCGGGGGTAGGCGGGCGGGTGTTGAGGGTGTTGGGAGGGTTCCGAGTGTGGGTAGGAGATTCACACACACAACCAATCCCCCAATCACCACAGCTCAATCTGTATCCACCCCTCACCATTGCTCACAACCTTCCACCATCCCTCATCACCGCTCACCTTTGTCGCCTCCATCTCTGAGGAAGTAAAAGTTCTCTTCCGACACATGCAGCTGCACACACACAGAATCCGGGAGGAGGGACGAAGGGAAGAAGGGAAGAAGGGAAGGGAATATCACAGTGTCAACCACCATGTTAAACTCGAGGTGACTTTTGAGTCGACTCAAAAGTCACCTCGGAACCACCGAGAAGCGCAACTTGGAAACTAGAAAACGGAACGAGGAAAAACAGATTCAAGCTGAGGGCAGACCGGAACTATAGCCCTCGAAAAACTAACAGGCCAGAACAAAGACAGCAAAAAAACTCACTGCTGCTAAAGTGGCCTCTCTCCCCCTCCCTTCTGCTGCCGCTTCCCTCCCCCTCTCCTCTGCCACTGCCTCTCCTCTGCTGCCCTCGCGTTCCTCCTCCGATGCCCCCTCCTCCGGGGCTTCCATCAGCCCAGCGTCCATGGGAGGGAAATAAGGCTCTGTGGATGGTGTGACGCCAGCAGCAGGGAAGGACTGAGCGTCCGCAGCATGAGTATCAGCAGCACGAGCATCAGCGGGAGCTGCACCATTATCAGCTGCCTCTGCACCTCTTGCCGCCTCTGCCTCTGCGCCTGCTGCTACTCCCTCGCCACTTGCAGCAGGAGAGAGAGGAGCGACAGGGGAGAGAGGAGCAGCAGGAGAGCCGGGGGTGAAGGGCGTGGGGGGCACAGCAGGCATACCCTCCAACCCAGGAGCAGCACTGTCCGGGGTGGTGTGAGGGCGCAGCACCCAACCCGCCCCCTCTTCTCCATCAGGGGCCTGAGCCGGAGTGCCTCTTGCAACACCTGTAGCAGCAGCAGCTGTAGCAGCAACGTCTGTTGCAGTCCCTGGGCCAGAATCTCTCCCGTCCATGTGCTCCCTTACCACTTCCACTTCCTCTACCTCCTCCCTCCCCTCCACCACTTCTTCCCTCGCCACTCCTACTTCCTCCTCCCTCCCCATCCCTGCCTCTTCCCTCCCCACACCTGCTTCCACCCCCTCCCTCTCCACCCCTCCATCCATGGCCATAGCCTCCCCTTCCACGTCTTCCTCCCTCTCCACCTCCTCTTCCCCTCTCCTCCTCTCCACCCCCATCCCCTCCCCCTCCTCCCTGCCCCGCTTCCTCCCCGTCCCCCTTTCTCCAGGCCTACTCGGCAGGCTCGGCGAAGCCTTGGAGAAGAACCGAGCCAAAAACGAACCAAGACCCGCCCCCTCCTCCCCTTCAGCTATACCATCAGCAGCTGCAGCTGTCACTCCCGCCACACCATCTGCTGCAAACGCATAGGCCACCCCATCTGCCGCCCCACCATCTGTTACCCGTGCTTCACCCCCTGCAAGACCCACCGCTACAGCCGGTGATACAGTCTGTGCTACAGCCGGCTCCTGCAGGCCCTCCACGCCCGCCACGGACCAATGGAGCGCTGCCAGCTGGACCGGCGTGTGCGGGGCTTTGCGGCGCTTCCTCACGAGGTCGTCCGGGGAGATGAGCTGCTGGCGAATGGTTCTGTTGAGGGGGGAGGGAGGGGGGGGGGGGGGGGGGAATGGAGGGGGCAGGCGTAGCAGAAAGTGGGTGAGGCAGGGGAGATGGGCGGGGGAGATGGGCGGGGGAGATGGGCGGGGGAGATGGGCGGGGGAGATGGGCGGGGGAGATGGGCGGGGGAGATGGGCGGGGGAGATGGGCGGGGGAGATGGGCGGGGGAGATGGGCGGGGGAGAGGCTAGGCCTTGGTTCCTCACGAGGTCGTCCGCGGAGATGAGCTGCTGGCGGATGGTGGTGGTTGGGGGAGGGGGAGGGCGAAGGGGGAAGGCGGAAGAGAGGGTGGGCGAGTCGAGGACTGTCTGAGTCGACTCGACTCCAAAGGCGGACACGCAGAGAAAGGGAATGGCAGCAACAGCGACTGAGAAACGAGGAAGGAATAAATGGCACAGAGGGCAGCACAGAGAGCGAGTCTAAGACTGTCCTGTGAGTCGATTGAAGGGCCGGCACACAGACAAAGGGAGCAACAGTGATGGTGACAGAGAAAGGAAGAGAAAGGAAGAGAGAAGAAGAGGGAAAGGCGTACTCAGAGGGCAGCACAGTGAGCGAGTCTAAGACCGTCCCCACACCATCCCCTCCTGCTGCTGCCCCTCGCTTCCTCTTCGCCTGCCCTCGCCTCGGGGGCCTTGGAGGCAGCCCCGCCCAAGCCTCGTCCGCAGGCTCGGGAGCCTCAGCAGGCTCGGCAGCTGCAGCGTGGTGTTCAGGCCCGGCCTGGTCCTCCTCTTGCACGGGTGCGGGTGCAGGTGTGGGTGTGGGCGTGGGAGCGAGTGCAAAGTCTGGCGTGGGGATGGCTGGGGTTGGTGCAGGGTGGTGGGGAGTGGGGAGGTGGAGCGGTGGGGGGTTAGAGGACAGGCAGGACAAGGGGGAACACAGAGAAGAGTAAGCATCATACGCCAATTGTTGGTGAGTAATCTCAATATCAAGAATCTTCACCACCAGTACCAACACTGGAACACAAGCACCAACCAGTGAGCATCACAACATCCTCTCACACATTCCCAACAAGGCATCCCCCCCCCCCTCCCACCCCCACAGCCCCCCCTAACCTTCCCCCAATGCATCACCTGGAATGCCCACAGAGGGCGTGGCAAGCCCTACAGACCCGCCAGGGGTAACCATCCCGCCCATGCGCCCCGCCTCCCCTGCCTCTTCTTCCCCTCTCCTCGCCTCCCCCTCCCTCGCCTCCGCCACGTCAGCCCGTGGTGTGCCTGGCACAGACCCCTTTCCTGCTGCACCAGCAGCAGGAGCAGCAGCGGCAGCAGCAGCTTCAGCAGCTTCTAGGGAGCGCGCATCATGGTCAGCAGGCATGGCTTCTGCTCGCCTCACCTCCACCTCCGGTACCTCCTCCCCTTCTTCCCCTGCCCCTCCTTCTGCCCCTGCCTCCGCCTCTGCCTGTGCGGCCCCTGCCCCTCTCTCTGCTCCTTCTTCTGCCCCTGCTGCCGCCTCAGCTGCTGCTGTCTCTGCTGTCTCTGCTGCCCCTGCTTCTCCTGCTTCCTGCCCTGCTGCTGCCTCTGCTGTTTCCCCTGCCGCCCCTGCTGCCCCCACCTCCCGCCTCTCAGCCTCCTCCTGTGCTGCTTCCACTGGCTGCGTTGCCTCCACTCCCTCCTCCCCCACCACTCCTCGCCCCTCTCCACCCATCCCCAACCCATCGCCACCCATCTCCATCCCCGCGCCAAACCCCATGTCCAGATCCATGGGCTCCATGAGCCCTGCCTCAGGCTCATACCCCTCCAGGCCCGCTTCAGGCTCATACGCCCCCCCCGCCCCCACAACCCCTTCTCCCCCCATCCCCCTCTCCTCCGCCACCTCCTCCGCCTCCCTCCCTTCATCCGCTGCCGTCGCCTCCCCTCCCGCCTTGCCTCCCTCTCGTGCCTCCTCGTGGGCCAAGTCACGGGGAAGCCATGGCTCGCCGTCCTCCTCGCCTTCTTCCACCAGCCGCATCACCGCACCCTCCTCCACCACCGCGAATTGCTCTGCATCGAGTGGGGGCGAGGGGAGCAGGGCCACGAGACGACGAGCATTTTGAGGCAGCTTTCCTTGGGGAAAACAGTGTTTTTTTTTTAGAATTCTCAGAAAACAGTGCCCATTCAAACCTGCCGCATCACAAAACCCACCTCCACCACTGGGAAGTTGCTCTGCGAAAGGTTAACTGTGATCCACACGCATAACCACCACGTGCGTACAGTGATTTTTTTAGACGTCTAAATTATTCACTGTACACACGTGCAATATTCCTGAAACCGCTACACGCATGCACAGACGTAATTACACCCGAGCACGCGCATAAACCACCACCACCCACCGTCCAGTCGATACTGCGAGCCAAACGCGTAGCCATCATCAACAGGCGGCGGCTCCGGTAGAGTGATTTGCTCTCGAGTGGTGAGACTCTTGTCCACCGCCCTGCACCCCACACAACCGCGACACACAAAAGACGGGTCAGATCATGATGAGAAAGAAGGAACGAAAGCAGGCAGTAGCACACCAGGGAGACCGCTTCCCGCCTCACCCGGGTTGAAGCTCGAAGGCCCCGTCAGGCAGGGCGAGCAGGTCCTTCCACTCCAAGTGCTCTCCCTGGCAGGCAGGGGGAATAATTACTCGCTCGTGCAAGCCATGGAGTGCTCCCTGGCTCCAAGTGCTCTCCCTGGCAGGCAGTGCTCTCCTATAATTACTCGCTCGTGCAAGCCCCTAACCCACAGTTGCTCCTACCTGCCTCTCCTCCTCTCACCCCCGCTGCAGCTTGAAGAACCCGTCAGGCAGGGCGAGCAGCTTATCGAGCTCCAAGTGCTCCGGCAGAGTGATGGCATGGAACGTCGCTGTTGCACACTGCCATATTGCTCACATGCCCGTAACCATGGCCCTCACACCACGCCTCTACCCTTGTCTCCCCGTCTCACCCAGGTGGCAGCTCGAATACGCCATCAGGCAAAGCAAGCAGCTCCTCCAACTCGAAGTGCTCTGGCAGAGTGATGGCGTGGCGTGGAACGACGCTGTTGCACACTGGTCACATGCACATTCCCCCTAACCGCCTCTACGCCCCTACGCGCCCCTACATTTCTCACCCAGGTTGCAGCTCGAACACGCCGTCAGGCAGAGCGAGCAGCTCCTCGAGTTCAAAGTGTTCAGGGAGAGTGATGGCATGGAACGACGCCGTTGCCGCCTCTGGGGGCAGGTCCACCGCTGCTCGCGCCAATACCTGGTGGGGAGGGGCGGAGAGCGAGAGACGAGTGCCAACAATGAGGGGTACAACGAGATAAAAACATGCAGAATGTGCATGCTGAAACCTAAAAGCCGTTTTTACATGTCACTGGGGATTAAGCAGACGTGGGAGAGGAGTTTGATACAAAAAGGTAAGCCCACAGACCGACAACGAGTGCAGAAGGAGGAATTTTTTATGTAATAAATGAGTTTTAAAGAGTATTATTAGTGCATACCTGCTTCATGCGCAGCACCGCATCGGAGCAATCCGCGTACAGATAGCCCACCTGGGGGGGCAACGGGCGAGGGAAGGACAACAAGGTTACTTTACAAGGTTAATACGCCCATAACGTCGCAACGGCCTTCCAGCGGAGAGAGTAAGAGAGCATTTCACAGCTCACAATGCAGCATGCTCGATTCAGTGCACACGCCACGCGCACTGCTGAAGCATCAGCAATGAAACAAGAAGAGAAAAGCATCAATCCAGAAAAGTGTACCTTCCGCGAATATATTCGCACGACGCCGAGCAGCAGATGCCCCGACAGCCGCAGCGCGATGGGGACCTCGGGGTGAAGAATGGTGTCTGGGGGAGGGGGGAGAAGGGAGGAGAGGGGGGGGGGGGAGGGAGAGGTGGGGGAGAGGGGTGTGGTGGGTGTAACGGTTTAGCTTGTGTTACGGTTACCACGACGAGGATTAAACGTCGAAATTTGATAAAGCGTACGAACGCTACAGCAACTTCTATGCACGCCGCGGATAGGAGACTAGGACAATCAGACAAAGACAGCGGCGATTTTTTTTTAGCGCGAAAGTAAACACACAGAAACGTAATCTTAAAAGGCTTTAAAGCCCGAGAACCAAGTTGGCAAGGGCCCGCTGAAAGCGTTCCTCACCGACGGTCTGCGGGATGTCGGTTTCGTAAATCTGATTCTTCCGCAGCTTCCGCTCCAGGTGCGCCGCTATCCATATCGGGCCGAGCGCGCCCTTCTTCGACAAAAATAGCTGCGAAAAGAACATCGCGACGACGACGACGACGACAGCGACGGCAACGGCGACGACGACGACGACGGCGGAAGTAACCCGAAGTTAACAAGAAATGGCTCCTCAACAGCGCGACGGACACGAGGATCGCGGCAACGACGACGTCGCGACTACGTCGGACATGGAATAGGACTGTGGAGGACGCGTCAGCTGTCGCCAGCGACAAGTCCGAAGACGGCGAGAGACTGCAACAGCTATGGAGAAAATGCAGCGATCGGACGATGTGAGCAAGGACTGGTGTGCAGACGAAAAAAAATATGAACGCTGCTGGTAGTAACAGAAGACGGCCTGAACTAAAACCGTTGTCCGACGGCGAACCGAACACGAGCAGTCAAAGTTGAGCTAAACTAATGCTCCCTGAGGAAATCAGTATTGTACTGAAAGTGCATTCATATTAGCATCTAAATTAGGACCTTGACCTAGCCGTCGGTTATTGCGAGCCTCCTCCTAGCAACACGCAACTTTAGTCCCTAGTCACTTAGTGCGCTAGGAAAAGCTGAAATGCTGAAATTGCTCTAACTGCTCTCCTCCCTTATCGACTCCTTGCGCTTATCTCACAAGCGCTCTCCGCGTGAATGGTGCCTTCCGCAAACGCAACCCTGTTAGCGCAGGTTGCGCACAGGGGGAGCTCGGCTGTCGTTACAGTATGACTGCCTTCCGCTTGACGATTGCTGGGGGGAGGGAGGGGAGTAGCGAGCGCGCGCGGGAGAGCGGGTCTCGTCTCGTCTCATCTCATCCACTGCTGTGTTTGATTGACGTCGCTCGTCTGCTTGACGCCATCTTGCTGCAGCGCGTGATTGGCTGGGGAATATCGGCGGTGCGCAGAGCACTGCTGGGGTTCCTCTGCGACTTACGTGTGCGCATTGCGAACTGCGCACTGCGCCCTGCATGGGTTGGAGTGGGTGCGCGAGGTCCTCCGCCCTCCACGTAGCCGCAACCAGAATTGGAGTTGCAAATAAAATCGTACGCGTTTGTAATAAATCTGATAGAATGTATCAGGGACCTTATAATTGTATAAAACTGCTCTGAACCCTAAAAGCTCGCTTTCCTTAGGCCACCTCGAAGCTGCTTTCCGTGGCCGATATTGCTGCGCGATTGGCTCTCACCTTTTTTTGTGGGCTCGGGCTGCCCTCCCAGGGATTGCCCTTCCGGGATTGCCCACACCACGAGTCACAACCTTGAGGGTTGCCCACGCTCAGGGCGTGCTACATTTTTTGAAGTCACTGAAAGTCCGGACGGCTGTCCGGACGCGTACGAAGATTACGACGTCGCACGGCTGCTTTGCGATCAAAGCGATGTCGCAAGGAGGCAATACGAAGAACACGACGTCATTTAGACCCTGACGAGCTCACTGCCGAGAATTGACGAGCTCTGTAACCATACAACTGTCCGGACGGCTGGCCCTCCAGACGAAAAAATAAAACATGTAGCACGCCCTCAGAAATAGAAGACTTTCCGTTCCGAACTGAATGGTCCGACCGAGTTTTCACCATCCGCCGCCACTGGTCGTGGCGCAACAACCCTTGCTTGTTGAGCTTAGCACAGCAACCAACCAACTCAATGTACGCCACTGCTTGACCAGCCGCCTCAACGCCTCTCTAGCCTGCAAGACACTAGCTGATCTTCCATTCCTGAGCCTCGTTCTGTTAGCTTCCTTGTCCCTCACTCGTTGATATATTACCCGTTGATGACCAGAGAGGCCCTGTAAAGCAGCCACACGGTTTCATTCTACGTTACATCTCGTGTCAAATGACACGCCGACCCAACATTTACACGATCGGCGACGCCCTTTCCAGATCATCATGAGAACGGCTAGGCGACACAAAGTGTCTGCTTTACCTTCAACAGACGAAGCGTTTAGAGTTTTTAGAACCTGCACCGGCCGCTAGAATGGCAGCATGTAACTCGGGATCGTCGATGGACTTAAGCTCCCTTAGTCGCCGTCAATCCAGCTGCTGTAGGAACAATCGCCGTAAGAACAGCGCAGCGCTGTCACTAAATCCGGCTCCTTACTTGAGTCGGGCAGGAGCACATTCGTGTACTCATTCACTTACGTCGCGACTACTTGTGTTACAAGTATCTCTGTTACTGCTGACTGGACTGTTAGTCGCCACCGCGGTTCACGCCAATGGCGACTTTAAATATCGGGGAACGAAGGCGGCTGACGGGAACGGAGTAGCGGCGTATAAAGCGGGTCCGCTACAAGCGGCTCCCGTCCCCTTGACCCTCCTTCCAGACAATCCCTTCGGCGCGAAATGCCTCGACGGCAGGTAACCCCACAGCGGCCTTTCGTCAACGAAGAAAGTTACTTACTCGTCGCTTGGTCTTCAATTGTGTTGTGTTTCCTTCTCCGTTAACATACAATAAGCGCCTATTCCTATGAGCGAAAAGCGTCGCCGAACCGGACTAAACCGATGTTTTCCTCCTCTGCACCCCTCTCCCCTTTCCCGGGGCTTTCTTCTCCATTTCCCCTTCCCCCCGCCCGAACCCCCCTCCCACCTCTCCTTCCCTCCTCCCCCCCTCCTTCCTCCCCAGTCCCCTCCCCATCGCTCTCCCTTCCCCCCATTGTTTTCCCGTCTTCCTCCCGCCTTCCTTCCCCGCCCGCCTCCCCCAGTCCCCCCGGGTACTACCTGCGGCGCGCGCGGCCGTCGCTGAGCCGCTTCTGGCACATCCACCTGCCGGGCGGCGGGTGGTGCACCACCGAGGAGACGTGCGCGTGGCGCGCCGGGAGGAAGCTGGGGTCGTCGCGCCTGTGGCCCAGGGCAATGATTGTGCGTGTGTTGAAGGGGAACGAGTGTGCATGTAAAAAAGGGGAAATGAGGGTGCGTTGAGGGGTTCAAATGTGCGTGTATTGAAGAGAAGCGGGGAGGAAGCTAGGGTCGTCGCGCCTGTGGCCAGGGCAATGATTGTGCGTGTTACGATGGGTAGTAGGGTGTTGTATGTTGAAGGGAAATGAATGTGCGTAAATAGAAGGGGAATGAGGGTGCCGCATGTCAATGGATTTGTATGTGCGTGTATTGAAGGGGAGAGCGTGCCTTCGTGTAAGGGATTCTTTTGTGCGTGCATCAAAGCAAAATGAATATGCATACATCGAAGGGAAGTGCACGTGACTTCCATACTCACCCCTCTCCACCAGCCCGCATTGCTGCCGGGCATCATGAGCGGAGACCCGGACGTAAACCTGGGTTTCGGCGAGTGGAACCTGGCCATTGCAGTGTACTGCGATGGGGGCGGGTACGTGGGGCGTGTGGGGTCTCAGTGCGAGGCCATCTCAGAACCACCTCAATCCAACTCCCACTATCCCTTCTCCCCCCCTCCACCAGCCGGCATGGCTGCCGGGCATCATGAGTGCAGACCCGGACGTAAACCCGGGGTTCGGCGAGTGGAACCTGGCAGTGGCAGTGTACTGCGATGGGGGCGGGTACGTGGGGCGACGGGGCGAGGTGGCTGTGGGCAACACAACGCTCCACATGGACGGCTGGAAGATCATCATGGCCATTCTCGATGGTGCGTGCGGTCCTGTCTCCCACAGCCCCCCTTCCCATCCCACCCATTCATCCTTCCCCAGTACCCCACCCCACCCCTTCCCTCCTCATGGACGGCTGGAAAATCGCCATGGCCATTCTGGATGGTGCGTGCATTCTTCCACCCGCCTCTCTCCACCCTTCCCTTTCCTCCTTCCCCACCCCACCCCCCCTCGCTCCACCCCACCCCTTCCTCCTTCCCCACCCATTTTTGGAGCTTCAGTCGTTTCAGTACTTCAGGCATGTGCTTGCTTGTCTTGTCGTTTCCACCCTGCCTCCCTCTTTTGCACACTCATACGCATCCATGCATGCAAATACTCTCGTTCCTCCTCCCTTTCCCCATCCAATCACTCACACTTACGCACACACACACACAGGCCTCCTTCCCCCTCCCCCCATTGAATCACACACTCTCATCCCAGACCTCTCATCTAAAGGGCTCATGGCAGCTCAACAGGTTCTAATAACGGGAGAGTCAGCCGGGGGGCAGGCAGTCGTGAACCTGTGTGACTATATCGCAGCCTACCTCTCCTTCGCCACCGTCAAATGCCTCTCTGATGGGGGCTTCTTCATTGGTGCGTAGCACAACATAACATGTATGATGCATCACACCCCGCTCATACGCACTCACCTAAATCGCGGCCTACCTCTCCTTTGCCTCTGTCAAATGCCTCTCTGACGGAGGCTTTTTCATCGGTGCGTGCGTGAGACACACATGCATCTCACCCACCCACGTACCTCCCACCACCTATACTCGCTCGCATTACTCATGCAACACCCGCAACACAATCCTCCTCTGCCCATGCTCCTCTTCCCCTTGCCCTTGCCCTTGGCCTTCCCCTTCCCCTTCCCCTTCCCCTTCCCCTTCCCTTTCCCCATCACAGCACTTCTCAGTCAACGCTATTACACTGGTATTGTTGCACTTGTGGTGTCATATGACTCTATCGTGATCTGCTCTTCACTCGTGTCATATATCCATGCCACTCACCGATGCCATTCATCCACGTCACTCACCGGTGTCAATCATCAGCCTGCCTACCCTCCTGCCTGCCCGCCTGTCTGCTCGCCATCAGACGCGCCTGACAGGAAGGGGCGTTCGTTTTTCAGAGAGGTAGCAAAGAATGCGACACAGCTACACCAAATGTTCAACCCCAAGTGCAATCAGAGTGAGGGCCTTTCTCGGTGAAGTAGAGATTGAGGCTTGTACACCAGTTGTTCAATCCTTGATGCAGCCAGAGCGAGGGTCGCTCTTTGTGAGACACTGCAGAGATCACACAAAGATCAAGGCCTGTGCTGTGCACCAGATGTTCAATTCTTCAAAGCTTTAGCTTTCTGAAACTCCTCCTTTCCTTCCCTCGCGCTCCGCCAAAACCCTTCCTCCCCTTCTCCCGCACCTCTCTGTCCCGGTTCCCTCCACTTGGCACTGCCCAGTGCCAAGTCAAGCCCAGTGGCACTGCTTCTTCCCGAGTTGACCTTTGAGTCGACTCAAAAGTCATCTCCCCACCTCTCTTTCCCGGTTCCCTCCACTCGGCAGATCTTCCGAGTCAAACCCAGTGGCGCTGCTTCTTTCCGCAGTACTCGCTTGCTTATGTCACCTCGGATATATTCATCCTCAACACGCTCTTCGACCCCATAACGCTCATGATTGGGGGTCAGCTGCCCTGGGGCCATGAACACGCCAAAGAGTGTCTGTTTGGTCTCCGATGGGGTGCCGGGGGGGGAGGGGGCGGGGGATTGAGTGGCGGAGCGGGGTTTTGGACAGGAGGTGCTGGAATGGGGGGAGGAGGGGAAGGGGGCAGGCTGGCGGGAGGGAGGGGAGGTTTGAGGGGAGGGGTTGATGGGGAGACAGCAAAACCGAAGATGCTGGGTGGTGATGGTGGTGCTGTATTCACAAGTGTTGGCATGGTTGACAGTGATTACCACGAAGGCTTTTTGGGAAGTGGTTACGGTGAAGCTGGTTCAGGTGGCGTCAACATAGCGGAGAGCAGCAGGAGCAGCAATGGGAGCAATGGTGACCGTGCCGTTGTTGCAAAAGGTAACACTGGTGATCAGGCTGTGAGCAGACCTGTCAGCAGCTTTGGTGCCGGTCAAAGCAAGAACGGCTACACTGCAAAGGAGCAGCAGGTGCAGGAACAGAATCAAATGCAGCAGCCACTGCAGGTGAATCAAAGAGGGAAACAGCAGCAGCAGCAGCAGCAGGGCTGTAGACCTGAAGAACGCACTGCGGTGCTGAACCATGGCTCCTTAGTAACCACCTCCCTGCAGGAATACGCCAATGATCCACATGACAATATCAGAGTGTTCTTACTGAATGCATATGCACATGGGATTGGCGGCACCAGCTATTGGACATCGTTCACATCTGACTGGATGCTGATGCCGCTGAATATTGCAGTGGCTAACTGGTTCGACGGATCCAGATAGTGAAGCTCGACTGTACTTAGCTACTCTTGTAAATTATTGAGTGTCAACACATAAAAAGAGGGTTATTGCGTTGAACACTATATTTCTATGTGGAGGATGAAAGGTTCTTGTAGGTCGCATTGTTCCACGCACCGCAAGCAGTGTCGTCTTCGGAGCGGGAGTCAGGATTCAGGGATTTGGCTCAGCAGCAACATCTGAAATGGACAGGTTCGTTGGACTCACCAACAACTGACCATCCAGTCAGGACCTGGACCCGAAAATGAAGCACATTCCGAAACGGCATTCCCCGGAGCACCGCCCCACGTGAACTATCTTCCACTACCTCCCCCAAGTGGCACTTGATCCTTCTGCAATTCGTCGAGCTTATGCTGCTTCTGACGCACACCTTCTGTTAGCTCAGAGCCCTAATTATAACCGTCGCGTCGCGTCCAAGTTGGTTCGAGCGAGCATTGCCATTTTAGCAGATCCAATACGAGCGACGAGCATTCTCCCATCCAGGGGTGGACTATTTTACGGAAAATCGGATTTCGTTCTTGAACCGTCGAGACCAAGGAAACAAGCATTTCTTTCTAGAGCCACCGTAGATTTTCCTCTATAAAAAGTGCATAAATGTGCCTCGTACAGTAGTAGCAGGCGCTGTCATTCATGAACATTGCACGTCGTTCGACAGCATGTCGTTCCACGTCGGGAACATGTATCACGCAAGTCGTACAAGCTTGCAATTTGAAATCGTTTCGTGGGAGGGAGATGCCGTTTTCTGCATTTTGCAGCAGGTCGATTTGATTTAGATAGCTCAAAAACGTCGAAAACGTCGCTTTCCTGCTTCCCCCTTACCCGTCTTGGTCGCGCTTATGAAACGGATAAGGTACTTACTCCCCAGTGCCTTTAAAGTCGCCTCAAAAGCCACTAAGCACGTCGGTGCATTGCGCTCAAAAGAACGGTCAAATTGATTCTCCTTGGTGCTTCCTCGGAACCTTCTGTCCTGCCTTTTTCGCCGTATCCCGCATGGCTGCGATCTGATTGGAGCTTTCGCCTTCTGTATCGGAATCAAGATATTTCCTTTTGCTGCACCTCGAAACGGTAGCAGCATAGAAGCATGAACCAGGCTAACCGCTCGACTTCATGCTTATATAAACCGTACGTCCTTGCGTTACGTTGACAGTCGAGCCTCGTAGTAGGAGGATAGCTCAGGGATAATATAATAAGACATCTGCACAGAGCTCACGTTGTCTTTGTATTAGAACTGCGCTCTGTGTCAAGTTGCGAGCAGTGAAAGAATCACCTTCTCCCCATCTCTCGCTCCGATCATCATCATCCCATGATGCAATCCTCGCCGTGCGTTCTCCTTCTTCCAAGCGGAGCAGCTCGACTCTACTGGGACCGGGTGACGGTACGGCAGGTTCAGCAAGATTACCCTAATTCTGTTGTCTGCAAGGATTCGGATCCCGTCAATCCTCTTCGTCCATGTGTTGTTCTTCAGCCTGGAAGCACCTGTTTTCTGGTTCCGTCATCTCAAAGAGTCCGTCGTGCACGTAATAGTACATCATCTCGACAACCTGACGCATCTGCAAATCAATCAGCCAACGATGCGGCGTTTTTCAGAACACTGTGGCGCGCGAGTTCCATGGATTACCTGGAGCAGCCAGGAATGACGGGATCCGTTCCAGCCGATCATCGTAATGGAATGCTGCTGACTTCCGTAAAACGTGCCAGGTCTCTGGACAAGAGAACGGAGGCAATGGGAAGATCGAGGGCAACTGAAAGGTCCAATTTGTTACCAAACAATGACAACTACAGCGGGATTTAGCTAATATGTTGACAGCGGTGCAGCAAATAAGATTTCTAGTTAACTTGGTTAGCTGCACAGATACCTACGTTGTGTTTCAGGACTACTGAGGCCAGAACCCTCTGTAGGCCAGATACCAGCCTAACGACCTGTATATACCGGCCAGATATAACAGTTTGCAATGCTCCAGGCCTTTTATTTAGTATAACATACGGTAAGATACTAAGGCAGCTATTGCTGCTATTCACCTTTTCTTACTTGCCTGGAGCATCTCCCTGATTGGCCTGCATGCATCAGATTTAGATGCTAATATGTTTCCCTACGTTTGTCAGCTAAGTTTCCCCACCCTGTCAAAACCACTTCCGCCGACGTTTTGGCATGAGCCCTCGATATCCTGAGGGCACAATCAGCCGCAACTCGAGCATCTCCTTGCACAATCTCAACACATCCCTCCCTCCACTTCCCTTCCAACCAGCCACACCTCCTCTTTCCCCACCTCCTTCCCCCGCGCTACTTTCAATCATCCCAGTCAGCCGTCCCACGATCCGAGCACTAGCCTCCGTGTGGCGCTCATCGAGCGGCCGGCTCCACAGGAGCACAATCAGCTGGCGCTTGCGTTGGCGCGATGACGTGGCAATCCCCCACTGGCGGAAGAGCTCGAGGCGGTGATGGAGTGTGAAGCAGTGGGCCATTCGCTGGGCCAGGTACTCCCTCTCCTTCCTCAGCTCCCTCTCCCTGGAATACCAACCGCGACACGATAATGTGGAGCCATGGGAAAAGACAAGGGGAGAGAGGGGAGCAGAAAAGGAGGGAAAATGTACACCATCAGAGCAGAGCAGAGAATGAATCTGCATCGAGCAAGGTAGAGAGTCGAGGAGACCACAGGGACTTCGGAAGTACACCATCAGCACGCCCTATAGTTTGAGGCATACACATGTTGGCCCTTCCTCTCCCCATGTGTTTGTCACATGCCAAACACCCAAGAAGAGGCTTACCTGGCGGCCTGCCCCTCTGCCCCCACGTGCTGTACAAGCCACTGCAGCCGACGCCTCTCCACCTGCAGGTACACCCGATCCGACGGCTCTCCTTGCATCAGCACAAGGAACAGCTGCGTGCGACGGATGAGCGACACCTGGCAGCGGTCCCACAGCACCACAGTCTCTCTCATCTCCTCCCTGAACCCCGATTCAAAGTGTGGAACAATATAAGGGGGAAGGCCAGGCTGATGCTGTCGGGGACGAGCGTTGGCGGGTGTTTCAATGCATGCTGCTCCAGAAGCATGCCCTGAATCTGTTCGGTTCCATCGCCCTCTTCTTTCTCTACCATTGGCCTCTCGTCCCCCCTGTGCTCTCCCCATCCCTCGATCCTCCTCCTCATTGCCCCAGCCTCTGTCCCCAGCTCCCCCTCCCTCTGCCTCCTCATCCTCATCATCATCCTCCTCCATCTCATCCTCTTCCTCCTCGCCTAGCCTACCCGCCTCCAGCTCCACCACCTGTTTCACCAGCAGCTGCTTCTGGTAGTGCAGCTTCGCTACAATCTCCTTCAGTTCAAGCACGTACGTGCGAATGCTCGCCACGTTCACCTCTGCTGCCGACTGAAACAGGAACTCCATCCGCTGGAGGTCCTGGGAGGAGGACCGGGTCATGGCAGAGGGGTCCGCAAGGCATCCCATGTCAAACCCTATCCCTGCAACCCCAGCGTCAGCAGCAGCTAGAAGCTCCCTCGCTCCCTCTGCAGCAGGGGCAGCTGCATTTTCGGCCGAATCATCAGCAGCAGCTGCAGGAGTAGAAGCAGCAGGGGCAGCAGCAGCAGAAGCTCCGTTGCTGCCTCGCTCTGCGTCCTTCTCGTCTCTCACTGTGAGCCTCGAGAGCTCTGCATGGAGCTGGAGCAAGCTGGCACGCCCTTCGTCCCCGTCCCTGCTCACAGTAGCACAAGAAGCCCCCCTGCTTGCACTCCCCCCCGTGGCAGTGGCAGCAGCAGTGGCGGCAGCAGTGGCAGCAGTGATGGCAGCAGCGCCACCAGCAGTGGACAAGCAGCCTGACACAGGCTGGGAGGCTAACGAGGGCGTGAGAAGGCCAGAGAGCTGGTGAGAGAGAGGGGTGAGGAGGCCAGACGCGTAACAGGAGGAGATGTTGGAGGAGGGGGTGAGAAGTCCAGACACGCAGTGGTATGGGGGCGTCAGGATTCCAGAGAGGTGGCTGAGGGGCATTTGCACGCCGCCTTCTGACAGACTCTCACTCTCCTGCCCCTGCCCCTGCCCCTGCCCCTGCCCCTGCCCCTGCCCCTGCCCCTGCCCCTGCCCGAGCCCCTGCCTGTGCCCGTGCGCCTGCCCCTGCTGCCTGGCTCTCATGCGCTCCATCTCCCCCTGAAGAGCCCCCATGGCGCGCCCCACGTCGTCCCCCAGGGCGTCCTGCAGCTTCTCCAGGCGCTGGATCTCGTGCATCAGCGCCAGCACCTTGGCGCTCACCGCCTTGCGCCGCCGCCGCCTCTCCCTCGCCCTGCCCCCCGCCACCCACGCTTCCAGTGACTGGAGAGAATGGAGGGACTGCAGCGACTGGCGGGACACGCTCTCTCTGCCAAACGAGCCTCCTCCCTGGTCCCTTCCTAGCCTACCGCTCCTCCTCTGGCTGATCTCTCGCTCGTCGGCTTCCCCTCCCTCATGCTGCTCCCACTGCCGCTCTCCCTCCCTCACTCTTGTGCTCTCCTCCCATGTCATCCGTCCCCTTGCTGCGTGCGCCTGCTGCTCTCCTCCCCTCCCACTCACCCCCACGGCCGCTTCTCCAGCCTCGCCTCTCTCCCTTCTCCCTCCCATGCTGCTGCTGCTGCTGGCAAATCTCGACTTGGAGATCCGACGGGTATGACCACCGTCCCCTGCAGCATCGCAGCCACTGTTGCTAGAGGACAACCATCTGCCGCCCACAACCAGCCCACCTGCCAGCTGAGCCACCCCTTCCCCTGGCGCCAGCTGAGCCACACCAGCAGGAGGAGAAGCAGCGGCGGCGGCAGCGGCGGCGGTGGCGGCGGCAGCGGAGGCATGAAACGAGGCGTCTTTCTCCCTCTGCTGCTTGCTGGGTCGCCTGGTGAAGCTACCAGGGAAGCACGTGGGCAGCACGAGGTCCAACGGCTTGGATGCCGGGAAGCAGGTCGGCGTGAAGCGATCCCAGCCGTCCGCTTCATCATCGGATGACTCTGAGACGTTGATGCTGGAGATCGGGTGCACCTGCAGGGAAAGGGGAGAGTGCAGTGGTGAAGAGTTCAGAGGGGAAGAGTGCCGAGTCAGCACAGGTACAATATTTTTTAAGGCGCCTCAAAAATCGCCTCAGTTCACGCGGTTTTTGAGGCGCCTCAAAGAGTGCAGGGGTGAAGAAGAGTTCAGAGGGGAAGAGTGCCCGAGTCAAACCAGGTACAAGAGTGCAAGCAGGGTCAAAGAAGCCACTCGTGCCACTCCCCTTGCTCTCTTTTGAATAAATGCCCTGCCCAGTGCTTATCCCTCCCACCGCTCTGACCCCGTGTCTCCCAAACGTTCTCTCTCACCTTGCCACCTGGCAGGGGGTGAACCCCTGGCAGGTGGCAGCAGGTGAGGTGAGAGCGCGAGTGAGAGCGAGAGAGAGAGAGGAGCGTACCTTGCCACTCTGCCAGGCTGCGTGTGCTCGTCGCCTGCCGTGGGAACCGCCTTGGGAGCGGCTGTGGCAGGAGGAGGCAGCGGAGAGCGCGTGTGTGAGGTGCTGCACCTGAGCCAGTGCCTCGCTCTGCTGCCTCGCCGCCTGCGACAGCTGCGCCTCCAACTGGCGTGTTGGGGAGGGCCGGGGGTGGGGGGAGATGGGGGAGGCAGAGGGAGACGAAGGAGTGGGGGTTGGATCAGTCTAGAGGAGCTGCAGAACAGCTGTAATGGGGAGTGGGGAGAGGAAGAAAGGGGAGAGGAAAGGGGAGGGGGAGGGAGGGGGAGAGATGAAAAAGGGAGAGATGAGAAAGGTTGCTTGGAGCTGGAGATGAGTCGTGGCAGGGTCGGTGGAAGGCACACAGGCCTGAAGGAGAAGATGGGCGTTGTACAAGAGAGAGACGGCTGCCGTGCATAATTTTCTCCTCACTTCCTCCTCTCCCCGCTCTTCGCTCCTCACTCTCCCTGTATCCCACCCCGCATTTCTCACATCTCCCCATGCAACTGCCACATGCCACCCTCCTCCCCACGCACCTGCTACACCCCTCCTCCCCTCGTACCTGCTGCATGCGCACGGCCTGCTGGTGGAACTGCTCTCGGGACGGCCGCAGCCGCATCTCGCTTTCCAGCCGCGCCACCTCCCTCTGCAGCTGCTCCACCAGTGCTCTGTCCGTCACCACCTGATGGGGGAGAAGAAGGGACGTGGTAAGGGAGGGTGGTGGCAGGAAATAAGTGAGGAGGATGAAGCGAGGACGAAGCAGCCGCACCAGGGCCACCTCCCTCTACAGCTGCTCCACCAGTGCTCTGTCCGTCACCACCTGATGGGGGAGAAGAAGGGACGTGGTAAGGGAGGGTGGTGGCAGGAAATAAGTGAGGAGGATGAAGCGAGGACGAAGCAGCTGCACCAGGGCCACCTCCCCCTACAGCTGCTCCACCAGTGCTCTGTCCGTCACCACCTGGTGGGGAGAGGAAGCGGTAAGGGTGAGGGATGGCGGGACCAGTAAGGGAGAGGGACGTAGGGAGGCGAAAAGATGCTGTGAAAACCCACACACCCACACTTGCACCACCCCACACACACACACAGTGCAATTCACCCCCACACAGCAATTGCCACAGCACAGCCACTCACCACGTTGACACACGCCGAGTTGGTGACCTCCTTGGCTCTCAGCGCGAACGCGAGAGTATTGCGCGTCTGGTCCAGGTGGGTCCTCCCGGCGCTGATGGTGGTGATGATGGCTGTGCGCCCGTTGCCCCCCAGCGACTGCTGCAAGATGCGCGTGAGCTTCGAGTCCCGGTAGGGGATGTGCCCCGCCTTGGCCCTGCTGCCCGTGCTCAACTTGCGGATCACGGTGGCAAGAGTGAGCAGGCTCCTGTTGATGTGGCACCCCTCCTTGAGGCGTGTGCCCGCCACGTGCGTCTGAGACGCCCTCTCACTGCCCGCCAGGTCCACAAAGTTCTGCTCCAGCCACGTGGCATCATTTCATTGGGACGGGCCAAGCAGCGGAGGGGGATAGCACAAAGAAGAGAAAATGGAACGAGCGGGAGGGAAAGGGAGAAGGCAGGTGAGGAGATGAGTAAAGCAGGTGCTGAGGAGCCCGGGGAAGGGGGAGAAACGGAGGAGGGGAGGGAGAGGAGGGGGGAGACGCATTCAGGAGACGAAGGCGAGTTGAATTAGTGTGGCATGACATCACAGCAAGTTGTGAAATCTCATCACTTAATCAGACTCCATACATCAGGTGGACTGGAATTAAAGGGCGCAAGTCGCTCACCAGCGAGGCGGAGAGCATTTGGGTGGCAGCAGCCTCTGCTGGCACGGGTATAGCCGGTGGGGGGGTTGGAGGTAGTGCCGCTGGTGACATTGCATTGGGACAGCTCTCCACCAGCTGGGGAATGAAAATAAGGAGAACATGAAGAAGATATGAGGAAATTGGAAAAATGGGAAAGTGAGGAGATGTAGGGTGGCGAGATCGATAGGGGGAGGGTAACGGAGGGAGGGGAGAGAGCACCAGTTGAATGTGGGAGCATTGTGAGGGGCGTAACTTAAGGATTGCACACACACGCACACATACACACACTCGTTGAGCACACATTTTCGCACTGACTACACACAGCACACATTCCACACACACGCCACACTCACGAGGCGAATGATCTGGTGCGATCTGGAGCTGGCGTCGTTGAGAGACGTCTCGCCCACCTCCCTGTGCGCCGCGCACTGCGCCAGCAGCCGCTGCAAGTCGCCCTTGGACTCCACGCCCACCTCCGTCAGTCGCTCCACCACCGTGCCCCTCTGCACGCCAAGGCATGGTGGGAGCAAGGCGGGAGAGGAATGTTTTAAACGGTCACTTGAGCCTGCAGCTGCCGTGAGGGTACATCGCGTTGATTCCTGGGTCGGCAATGGTCAAGAAAGGGTCTTGGAATTTACGACCCGGGGTACCTTGAGATTGTCAAAAGGCTTCAAACGTTACGAATTCGTGAATTGCATGGTTACCTCGGGATCATCGAGGAGCCTGAGGGGCCCGGAGTCCGGGTTGAGGAGGTCCCGGACAATCTCGTTGTAGATCTCGATAGCTGACAGCTTCACCAGGAAGCTGCGATGCGGATTCTGCTCACATTTGCACATTGCGCATGCACACACACACACACGCACACACACACACACACACACACACACACACACACACACACACACACACACACACACACACACACACACACACACAGCTGACATTGTGAATGTCCTTGATGACTACTGGCATTGTTGATGTCCACGAAGCCACCGAACGTTTGGGGATACATATAACATTGCGAACTTGCAAGGCGAAAAATGACGTTCTGAAAGTGCATGAATAGGACCAACGTAGTCGGAGTCCACGAAAAAAACTGATTCCGTGAACAACCATGACGAAAGGCTGACGATGTGAATGTCCATGCCAAGACATTGTGATGCCCGTAAAGGCTGACAATGCCAATGCTCGCGGAGATAACTGATTCTGTGAACTTCTTCAGTTAACTTCTTCAGTTAACAACTAAGAATGCGAACCTTCATGAATTCAACCGATATTGTGCATGTTCACGAAACCGACCTTGGGGATATCGATCAGCATTAATTACATTGCGAATGTACAGGGAGAAACATGAAGGTGGAAATGTCCGTGAAAACACGTAACAGACACATAGGCCCCGAAGAGGTTTTCGTTGTGAATGTCCATGATAATCATTGACACTGTCAATGTTTCTGAGAAGATCTGGCATTGAAAGATTCCGTGTAATCGACTCACATTCCGAATGTGCGTGAAGATGTCGCAAGCGGCAAGATCAGTAATGGCCTCCATGGTGTACGTCTTCCCACTGCTTGTCATACCGTAGGCGAATATCGACGCTGGCAACACAGAAAGAGCAGCATACACCGGAAACAGAGACCAGTTAACATTGGACGGTGAAGTTCACGAGACCGTGGTACGAAAGTTTGATACAGTACAAGGCAGTGAACGCACCGTTGATCCCGGAGAGCGCGGACAGCACAATGTTCTTGGCTCCTTCCTCGTACACCCGATCCGACGGACACGCGGGACCGAACGCACGGTCTGCACGCACGCATGACAAACGAAATTAATTCAGCTATGCGCTCCTCCATACTGTGATACCTCCTCATAAACCCCTACAAGCGTGCTGCCTATGCGAGCAGGACGAACGTGTGCAAACTGCCGGTGAACGGTCTTATAAGAGAGACGATTGACAATTTGAGCGCTCACCGAAAGTGTAAGCAGCCGGGTACGGCGAGCGCTCGGGAAGCGGCTGCAGGAAATGGAGCGTGTTGGGTTCTTGAATGCGCCACACTACCTTATCCCCGCTCGCCGCCTCCTTCCTGTTCAACGGTCGCACGCGGACCGACACGAAGATTTTCTCCGACGTGGCCTTGAGCCCAACGCTCGTTCGAGACACGGGCGCGATAGCCGCTTTAGAGTCTATTACTAGCTCAGGCGAAACGGCCGCTTTCAGGATGGTGTCTTGGGGAATGCTGTCCGGCGCTAGGCTCGGATCAGGCTCCATCCTCGCGTCGGGCCGCGCATCCTCGCCGAGCTTCCATCGCCTATTAGAACCTTCTACTCTCCGAAATCTCTCCAATTGAGACTCTTCGCCTATAATCTGGCTGTTAAACATGGCTCCACTAGGGGTCCTTTCAAGGTTGGTAAGCTCGGAGTGGTACGGAAAATCTAGGCTACCACACGAGGACAAGCTCATCTGGCAGATGTCAGAATCGTCCATTGCGAAACGTTAACGATGTCTGCCAGATATCTCCTCGGTAAGAATAATATCTGGTGAGTTCGCATCGATGGTTCTGCCGGAAAGGTCCTTTGTACCGCAATCGGGTCTTGTAGGAGGTAGCAGCAAATGTCAACGATTTATGCTAAGCGCTTTACGAAAGGCCATCGCATGGCTCCTGCTTGACCGAGGGTGTAGATTCGTTTTGAGGATGCGTGATGGGGAATGTTGGTCTCCGAGACCAGCACTTGTGCTACGTGTGACATGTGACTCCAAGGCCACGACGTGCTATATGAGAAAGCGAGAATAACGTTGTGGAAGGTTGACACAGCCGTTAGCTTTACGGATCGCGTATGCTGGACAACGACACGCCATGGACGAAACTGGGAGCACCCTTCCCTTGACCACGTGGTCTCATTGCCTCACTTCAATGCATTGCAGGAAATAATTTTGCAAAAACAGTCATATGTAGCTGGAACACCCATCCAGACCGATCCGTATGCCTCTCCATGGCGGCAGACTTTACAAGAAGGCAGCAAAGTAGCATAGCATCTCTTAACGAGCGTCGTATCATCGTTCCTGGATGGTTTCCATTCATGTCGATGAAAAAGCCAGCATGCGCTGGAGAAGATGTTTGTACGATAAAACGTGTTCAAAAGCAGCACAGTACGGTAATCAGGTTGGAACATCGGTGACGGCGGCAGGGACAAAATTACACGCCTGCATTGAGTCGAAGAGCATCCCGCTTCCGCCCATGCGGAAATGTTTCCCCCCGCGACGCGAGAACCCCCCCTTCTTGGCATAAGCCGGTGGTGCTGACTCAACTGGACTGATTTTGCTGGATCCTCCCAACAAATGGCAAGGAAGGCGAGATTCGCATGGCATGCAATGGTGTGGCTTGTTTTGAGCGACAGCAAGCAGGTGAGAATGTTTTGCAGAATGCCTTGCCAGGCGAAGCATGCCGTGCGCCTTCTCGGCTGTCGCAGACGTGATCCTGCGAACTAGACGCATCGCTTCACAACACCATGGCGATGTTTCATGTTCGTCGATGCGGTTCGGCATGCTTGAATCATCACCCATGCAGGCACATCAAGGGCCAATGAGTGTGCTGCTGGGGGGAACCATGAATAATTCGTGATGGCGCGAAAATCCATTCCGCGGGACCCCTTTGCCGAAGGGGGGTGCCGTGCTGGTGTGCGGCAAAGGACCCATTTGCACACAACTAAAATGCACTGAGCGAGCATAATTTGTGCCTAACTCATCAAACTCTGAGGAGCCTTTGTATGTGCATTTTGTATGCAATGTATATTGAATAAAGAACTCAATTGTGAACATTAATCACCACCTAGTATGACTCACTCACTCGGTCTGATCGTACTTATTAGAAAACCTGCACTGCGGATGCCGTATCGATTATCGGGAAGTGCTAAAAGCACGCTGGCCAAGGGGGGTATGGCCGCGCTCACCCGCTACACAACAAGCCCCCTTACATCAGAGCAATTAACAGCTGAGATTTCGACGTAGAATCAGAGGGAAATTCTGTTATGATGTGAAAGCGAGAATGGTGAAACTAACATAGTACATAAATCACAGTACTAGCAAAGTCAAAAAGTAAACAAGTGAGGCCAAGTAGGCACAAGTCCTAAAACAATACAGAAAGGCTGATGATCACAATGCTGAAGTGCCTTGGTGAATATACCAGCAGTGTTGGCCCGAGAGGCCTCGTAAACAAGACGAAGCTGACCACGTTGCTGCAACTCTCGAACAAGGAAGTAACGCAGAGCGATGCGCTTCGTCCTGTGCTCCAGTCTGTGCTCCTAACACAAGGCAATCATGGCCTTGTTGTCGATGTACAGAACTGGAGGAGAACGAGGCGGCTCTCTCTCGTCGCTCAGCAGGTAGGTGAGCCAGCGTAACTCCTGTGCAGCCATAGCCCCTTCCTGTGCAGCCATAGCCCCTACGTAGATCTCAGACTCACAACTTGAACTGAGAACAAAAGACGAGCGGGTAGACCAACAAGAAACAGAGCCGGAGCCAAGACTGAAAGTGTAACCCTGTGACGACCGCTGCGTAGCCAAGTTATCAGCCCAAGAAGTGTCTTCGTGTCCAGTGAGGACAACTGGACCCTGTCCTCCAAGCACGAGCCACATACCCGACGTACTACACAAGCAGTGCAACACCCTCTTAGCGGCCTTCGAGTGCTCTGGTCGGTGTCTCCCAGGCACAACGTAGCGTGTCAGGATGCTAAGAGGGTAGGCAAGGTTAGGTCGAGTGCAGGTCATCAGGTACATGAGGTAGCCCACAAGCTCTGGATACGAGCCACACGGCTCTACGGACTCGTCCGAAGGTGGAGCTGAGAGAGAGTGACCGGTAGCCAGAGGAGTGGACTCTGGCGAGGAGTACTTGATGTCAAAGCGCTAAAGGACCTGCTGCACCATGTGTGACTAAGTCAGGGTAATGGTGCGGCGTGCTCTATCCCGGGTGATACGCAGATCACGTGGGTTTGTGCACGTGTGTCTCTTCTACAGCTTTGAATTCACTAGGGCCAGCCCCTTAGTGTCAGCAGTGGCAAAGATAAAGTCGTCGACGTACACGAGGACGTAGAACGGCAGAAGCGAAGTGTCGGTGGGCAGAAACAATGACGGGTCAGCAGTCGAAGGAGCAAACCCAAGAGCCGCAAGCGTCATCCTTAATGTGTCATGCCACTCGCGAGGCGCCTGGCGGAGACCGTAGACTGGCCGCCGAGGGCTCCATAGGGTACCTACAGGAAACGACCCAGTGAAGCCAGGTGGGCGGTGGAGCCAGATCTCCTCGTGCGGGCTGCCCTGTAAGAAAGCTGTACTGAAGTCAAGAGAGTGAAGTTCGTAGTCACGCTGAGCAACGACGTGCAACAGTACCCGAAGAGTAGTCATCTTCGAGGTAGGGGAGAAGGTCTAGAAGAAATCAACCCCTGTCGCTGTCTGAAGCCTCGTGCAACGTAGCGAGCCTTGAAGGCAGGCGGAGGATCTGGCGGCCGCTTCACCCTCAAAATCCACATGCCATCGACTATGTTCGCCCCAGGAGGAGGAATTGCGTCGACGTAAGTGCCTGTGGACTTCCAAGATGCCATCTCTGCGTCCATGGCTGTCTGCCACTAAGAAGAGTAGTGGACTCAAATAAAGGGTTAGTGACAACAGTGGCCAGAAGACGCGTGACAGTAGGACTAGCAGCACGAAGGAGGTCAGACTCAGGGTCCGGTCCGTCAGCAAGGGAGGACGCAGGAGGAGACGGCAGGGGGACACGTAGTGGAACAGAGGAAGGACGAAGTGCCATATGGTGCGTGCCGGGGACAGGAGGAGGACGCGGACGCGGAACACGACTACTAGTGCGACCAGCGCGAACAGGCGAGGCAGGGCGAGACGCAGGCTCATGACGCTCTGTAAGAGAGTGTGAGTGCTCAGTCTAAGGAGAAGGGGCAGGCAGTGGGGAGTCTGGCTGTAGTTGAGGCTGCGACTGGTCAGGCGGTAGACACAGCAAGGGAGGAGAGTAAGGTCAGTAGAAGACGGAAGACTCAGAACCTGGCAAAGTGCCGAGCCAGGTGGTGACAGAGACAACGGCGACGGCGAACAAAAAACAGTCGCCGCTGCACAGTGCCTCCAGCACCAGTACCAACAGCTCCAGCACCCCCAGCGCTAGCGTCTCCATCTCCAGCACCTGCAGCACCACCAGCTCCAACGGCTCCAGCAACTCCAGGCAACCCCTGTACCGCCAGCACCTCCATGACCTCCAGTAGCAGCAGCACCACTAGCTCCGGGAGCTCCAGTACCTCCAGCACGAGCACACCCAGGGTCAGCACCTCCAGCACCTCCAAAACCTCCAGTAGCAGCACCACCACTTGCTCCGGCAGCTCCAATACCTCAAGTACGAGCACCTTCGGGACCAGTGGTGTTAGAATAATAGGCAAGGATGAAATTGGACTATCGAGAGTTTGGTACAAAAGTATGACCTAAGGGGTTGTACCCCACAGTGAGTACCCTACTAGAGCCTACCCAAACTACAATATATAACTATATGTTTGACACACCCCCATAGGCAAAGTGGGGGAGAACAGATGGTCACAAGTGCAAAGCAAGCTCAGGGTGGATCACAACGTCACCACGCATTCTTAGCACAAACAAAAGGCCACAAGGCCAGTTCACATGCAGAGATATATACGTAACAATAACAGCACAGTGATCTCTAACTAGCAGAGCAAGCAAGCAGGTATATATATATATATGTAGATCATAGTACAAACAAAGTCTACAGCAAGTGAGGAAAAGTGAGCACAAGGCCTAACAAAATGCAAAAACGCTGATGATCACCAGACAGAAGTGCCTTGGTGAATATATCAGCAGTGTTGGCCCGAGTGGTCACGTAAGCAAGACAAAGCTAACCACGCTGCTACAAATCTCGAGCCAGGAAGTAACGCAAAGCTAAACCCAAGAAGCGTCTGAGGGCCCAGTGAGGACAACTGCGCTTCGCCCTCCAAGCACGAGCCCCATGCCCAATGTACCGAACAAGTAGCGCAATACCCTTTTCGCAGCATCCATGTGCACCTTTTGGTGCCGACCAGGAGCCACGTAGCGAGCCAGAAGGCAAAGAGGGTACGCAAGGTCAGGTCGAGTGCAGGTCATCAGGTACATGAGGTAGCCCACTAGCTCTGGATACGGGCCATTCGGCTCTACGGACTCGTCCGAAGGTGGAGCTGAGAGCGAGTGGCCTGTAGCCAGAGGAGTGTGCTGTGGCGAGGACCAGGTGAAGCCGAA